CAGAGCCGGAGATGATGGATCTGGAGATATGTGATGAATTTGCACATGTAAAATATGTACATTTGAATTGGAAAACATACCGGGAATTACATTCAACACATCCAAACCACCGGACGATCCAGAATCAGAGTCTAACTCATCATCCGGCCCAAGGTATATATCATCTAATGGATCTGAACCATGTCAGATCAATTGACTGAAATCAGAAAAAACAAAACATACCAAGGGACATCCGGGACTGGGAGGACTCATCCACATCCATTGAAGTAAATTCAGTGACTGGAGGGTCATGAAATCTGACCCCAGGTTGAGAGCTCATGATATCTGATGAGCTGATGCACTGATGAACTGATTGATAACTGATAACGTCGAAGTTCAACACATGGCCGGCGATTGCCGAAAGTTGAACGATGGCCAAACAAACACAAACAATCAACGAATTTTCAACATTGTCCTTCAATTGTATTGTTTCTTTGAAACTTCATTCTATTGATAACAGATTTCACCCTGCTTTCAACATTCTCACATCTGTCAACTCCATCCAAATGTCTACTCAAGTTCAATCTTCATTGGCCAACCTCAAGGCATCCACTGCTCAACTTGTGGGCATCATTGCCGGCGCCCGGCACATCCCGGCCGGCTCTGTAGACGTCCACCTTGTTCTAACAAAGCAGGTCACCACTCTTTTGGTATGTTGAACTTATTAAATTAGTGTAACATTAATGTTTGTAATGTCCGGGTAGGCTGACATCATCCGGGCCCATGAGAAAGGGGAGTACATCCCTGGAATTGTGGCGTCCTGCTCTAAGGAGCTGATGAGGGTGCATTCCATGACTCCTCGGGCATTGCCCAACTGGCACAGCATTGGCCACGATGACCCCCGGGTGGCTAGACACGCCTGGCGCAAGCAAGTCCGTGCCTGGGAGGCATTGGGTGACAATTCCTGTGATCTCCCTATTGTCCCTAACGTTTCCACTGGCCCACTCACTCTCAACCTTCCGTCTCCACCTGTCCCTTCACCTGCACTTGTCCCTTCCCCCACCCCCGTCATTCCCTCACCTCCGGTCGTCGCCGGACCTTCTGGCAAGACGACCCCCGAGGTCCGGGACAAAGGAAAAGGTAAGACCACCTCCGGCAACCTGTCGCCGGAAGTTGGGGGGAGCAATAAGAGGAAGTCTCCAATGATTTCGGGACACTCCTCCCAACCTCCAAAGTCGGCGCTGAAGGCTCGCAAGCGTGTCAACTCAACTCAACTCCCCAAGTCGAAGCCGTTTGTGGAGTCGGAAGATGATGAGGACCCAATTGTTCAGGTATGTGTTCTGGCTGATTTCTGACATGCTCTCAATTTGTTGCAGCCGATTTCACGTGAAGTGCCGGAGGTCGTCCTTCCCCAGCGCACCATTGTGGTAAGGAAGCCCCAGTTGCCTCGGTCACCTGGTTCCCCCAAGAAGCAATCATTTGGGCCTGCTTCGGTAAGTTTGCATTTTTCGTTTGGACTTTAAATATATGCTCATGTGTCCACAGCTGACTGCCGGCAGTCGTCCGGAGGTTACGGTGAGTCGTTTGGACATGTCCGGACCTCCCATGTATAATTCCCACTCATTCCCATTACATTAGAAATCTCCCATCAGCCGTCCGGAGGCTCGGGTAAGTCCTAGAAGTTTTCCAGAAACTCATGTGTATTAAAAATCTGTCAGGCAACCTCCGGCAGGCGTCTGGAAGTTGAGGAGGAGTCCTCCGATGATACTTCCAGTGCTTCGGATGGTGACCCGCCGGCCACTACCACATTTGATATCACCATTCCCGGCCCAGTGAGTACTCAAATAAATTCCCCTTAGTCCATCTACTAACGGATACTACAGAACAACCCCTGCCATTATTGTGTCAAGGAAAATTGGCCCTGTGCAACTCGATTGGACAAGAGGTCCAGCCTCCCCTGCTTGTCTTGCATCCGCTGCTCCACCAAGAAGATCAAATGCAACCCTGCATCTCTGGGATCCCCGCCCAAACGGACCCGAGGGAAGTCTACCACCGGCCGGACGCGTTCCAAGACACCTGCCCCTGCTCCATCCAATGCTCCATCTCCCTCCCGGTCAAGGGCCTGAACTCGTAGTCAATCTCATGGCCCTTCCCGAACTCCGGCCATCCCTGCTGCAACCACACCCCAGGTGCAGTCACATGGTCGCAGCAAGACCATCACTACCAAGAAGACACCTGCACCTGCACCTGCACCTGCACCTGCACCTGCACCTGTCCCTGCACCTGTCCCTGCACCTGCGCCAGCTGGTAAGTCACCCATACTTTTGATGACCGGCTGACCAAATTTTTTACTTAGCAGTCAGGTCTTCCAGCGTCGCAGTGCCTCGTGCAGCACTCAATGTTCCCATGCCGGATCTCCATTCCATGGCAATCGTGATTCGGGATGGTGCAGCTCGCATCACTATTCTTGAGGCTCGGGTGCAGGAGCAGGACGCTAAGATTGATACCCTGCAATGCCTCCATGAGAGCCTCCGGCGCACAGTGGTCAACCGGCACCCTTCATTTTCACTTCCGGACACACCGGCCAATGGAATAATGTTGCTTGGTCAAGGAGGTCCCCCCCGTCCATGTCACCCCTCCCCTCCGCACTTTCCAACCTCATTGATTTGGACTTTTCAGTCATGCAACCTACACCCTTGATGCCTGAGCATGAATCTGCTGTGGTAGGTCCCATGGTTGAGCCCACCCAAGTTCAGCCTGAGGGTCCACAATCCTCTGGCGAAATTGTTCTCCCTGATGAACCAGGCAACCTCCTGCCAGAATCCCCCGGCGATATTGTGGTCCCTAATGAACCAGGTAACCTCCTGCCAGAATATGATTCTTCTGATGAGGAGATGGATGTTGAGGGAAAGGTTGATCTTCCTGGTGAGGAGGTTGAAATGGCTACATAATTGCTCAGTGATAGATGTACATAAATGTTTTTCCATGCATGTTACCTATGCCACAATTGAATCATTCAATGATCACTCCCGATATCCAGAACTCGAAACTGCAGATTGAGGTAGATATCACCCGAAACCCGAACACCCGAATGTCAAATTATCAGTGCCGAACCCCGAGTCCCGGGTGCTGGGTACCGAGTCCCGACACCTGGAACTCAGGATTTGACATTTTAGACGAACGACATCTTCCAGACATGTTTAAATCAACCTATGTATATCTGTAAACATTTTACTAACCCCCAAACCCCAAACCAAGATGTACCAACCCCCGAACCCCGAAACCCGAGAGTGCCGGGTCTCGGGTATTGGGTGTCCGGAACTCGGAACTTGGGAGAATTTGGGGAGATCAATACAATTTAATTTACAATCGAGTTGATTGACAACACATTGACTTACCCATGTTTGCAATATATTTTTGTTTAGACATACCGAGTTCCGAGTTCCGGACACCCGAGACCCGAGACTGCCGGGTCTCGGGTTTCAGGTGTCCGGAACTCGGAACTGGGGAAAATTTGGGGAGATCAATACAATTTGATTCACAATCAAGTTGATTGACAACACATTGAATTAACTATGTTTGCAATATATTTTTGTTTAGACATACCGAGTTCCGAGTTCCGGACACCCGAGACCCGAGACTGCCAGGTCTCGGGTGTCCGGAACTCGGAACTCGGTATGTCTAAACAAAAATATATTGCAAACATAGTTAATTCAATGTGTTGTCAATCAACTTGATTGTGAATCAAATTGTATTGATCTCCCCAAATTTTCCCCAGTTCCAAGTTCCGGACACCCGAAACCCGAGACCCGGCAGTCTCGGGTCTCGGGTGTCCGGAACTCGGAACTCGGTATGTCTAAACAAAAATATATTGCAAACATGGGTAAGTCAATGTGTTGTCAATCAACTCGATTGTAAATTAAATTGTATTGATCTCCCCAAATTCTCCCAAGTTCCGAGTTCCGGACACCCATACCCGAGACCCGGCACTCTCGGGTTTCGGGGTTCGGGGGTTGGTACATCTCGGTTTGGGGTTTGGCACTGAAAATTTGACATATATATTTTTGTGAGTGTTGTGCTTCTGGTGTCCATGCTTAGAAATAGGATTTGTTGCACACCAGGGTTCAGGTGTGGGGTTTTTCCACTTCAGTCCTGGATTATTGGTCAATGCCACACATGATAGATTCATGTTTTTGTGCTTAGGGGTTTAGATTTGGTGGTTGATGGTAGGTATATGCACTGATAGTGTACATGTATCCTATGTGTTTGATTCGCTGGTGGCTACATCAGCTGTATGTCTTGATGGAACATATCTAGGCTCACCCATATATGTAATACACCTGTTGGCCCGCCCGTCTATGTATTATCCCCCACGTCAGCCGACCCGTCTATGTGATACATCCTATGTTGGCCCACCCGTCTATATAATACATCCTACATCGGCCCACCCGTCTATATAATTATACCCCACCTCGGCCCACCTGTCTATGTAATAAATATTTTATAGCACCCTCGGCCCACCGGTCTATTTGATATCCCTTTCGTCGGCCCACCCGTATATGTAATACATTCCACGTCGGCCCACCTGTATATGTAATACACCCTACGTCAGCCCACCCGTCTATGTAATATTCCCCTACCTCGGCCCACCCATATATGTAATACACCCACGTCGGCCTGCCCGTCTATATAACAATATTTGCCTTACATCTCTCTTCAGCCCAGCTGTCTATAATATCCTACTCTACATATTACCCAGATGGGCCCACCCATCTCCATGAATGATCATATTCCCCCGGCCCATCCGTCAACATTAAGGATATATATATCATTGGCATACATGGGCCCACCCGTCTCCATCGGAAATAATATGAGTCCCGGCCCATCCGTCATCATCGAGAATATACACAACATGGGCCCATGATCAGCTGGCCCGTCTCATACGAGATATTATGGAGGTTGGGTGGCCCGTATAATACGGAATTTGTCACTGAAGGGGCTCAGAATGATATATCTTATAGGGAGCTGGTGCGCGCACACATATTCACCCACATGAGATGGCCAGAGTTGGTGTCAGCCGCACCAATCATACTCAATGTTTGCCCTATGCTTCGAAAGACATTTTAGAGCACCAACAAGTCTATAACAATGTACTGGCTACATTCAGCGAACTCTTCGAATGGTTAGAACATGTGGTGAGTGTACTTGACAGAATGTGTTTACCTTGACATTGACTTTCATCCCAGATGAAGACACACTTACCAGAGGAGTATGAAGTCATCATTGAACTCAGTCACAATCTCCCTGGTGGAGAATGCTCACCGGTGGCTCCATTTCTATCCATTGTCATAAATATCAATGTCACCACAGAGGCCCACAGAGACAGGTTTGATAAGGACCTGTGTCTCATCCTGCCCATAGGCAAGTTCAAGGCTGGGGCTTTAGTACACTTCGAGCAGGGATTGGTGTTGGAGCTACGATGTGGCAACTTCGTCATTTTTCCCTCTGATGACACCACTCATTTTAATCTTCACTATGAGGGTAAGAGAGCATCATTTGTCTTCCATACCGATAAAGGCTTTGATAAGTGGAAGAATGGGCGTAACGGATGGGCCATTAACAATCACTTTCACTGATTGAGTGAGTGCTGAAATCCCCTCATTTCTGATTGTGTTTTGACTACAACCACTGTTCAAGCTATTATGCAACTTCGTAGTGCAATGCCCTGATACAAGTCAACAATACGGCACTTGACAGTTTAACACTACTCCGTAGCACAACTCCTCACACTTTCATGTGATTGTAATGCAATACACTCAGTCACGCTTCAACAAGAATCTGTATTTTTTTTGCTGTAATATCTTGTCTTAGTGTTCTGACTTCAAGTCTCCTGCCCTTGCGATCACTTGTAGTTCCCATCTGGTAAGTCTTCTGTTCTGTTTGACACATGCTAATTTTTTGTTGGTTCTCTGCACCTGCCAATCATACTTCTGCAGGGGGAAGAGTCTCTTTGCGACCTTATTCTCTTCGCCTCATTATTCTTCCCCAGGAGGGCAGGCAGGGACAGCATGGCTATGAGTATGGCTAGTGTTTGTACTTCAAGTCTCTCGCCCTTGAGATCACTTGGAGTTCCTGTCTGGTAAGTTTTTTGTTCTGTTCGACGCATGCTAATTTCTATTTAGTTCTCTGCACCCGCCAATGATACTTCTGCAGGGGGAAGAGAATCTCTTCGCGACCTATTCGCATCCCCCGATGATTCTTCCCCAGGAGGGTGAGCAGGTACAACATGGGTATGAGTATGGGCAGGGGGAGTACTACGAGATGGGGAACATGCAGCAGTACTAAACATTCTATGTCTGGTGCTTGTTTCCTATTTTTTCACGATCTTTGATGTTTTCTTCCTCTTTAGCGGTTCACACTGCAGCGGTCTATATTGCTATGTAGGGTAGTTCTCTACACCCGCCAACGATGCTTCTGCAAGAAGAAGAAGAGAGTCTCTTCGCGACCTATTTGCATCCCCCAATGATTCTTCCCCAGGAGGGCGAGCAGGTACAGCATGGGTATGAGTATGGGCAGGGGGAGTACTACAAGACGGGGAATAGGTATGTGGTTATGTAGTAGGACTCGGAGAATGTCAGTGTGAGATGAGACAGGATAATGAAGAAAGTAAGTCGACGTAAACCAAAGTAGAGCATCATCTAAACGGAAACATCCAGGCCTGTATCATAATATTTGAGCGAGTTCAGGTAGACTTTTTTCAAGAGTGTATCGTACCTATCTGAATACTGCTGCGAATTTTGTCGCTGCGTCGAAAACTGCATGCACGGCCTCTCTCATGGCACTCATAGCTCCCTGAATCGCCCTTCTCAAAAGTGTTTTCAATCTCTGTCTGGCGCTCGTGCTAGCACCGATGGCGGGAGTGTTCGAGGGAGTGTTATTGGGAGTGGCGATGGGCGAGACAGCAGGAGCGGGTGCGATGGCATTAGACTACATGCTGATAAGTTGATGCTCTACACTAATTAGTTACCATACCATCGCCCAAAAATAGTCAGCTTGATTCTACATTTCATTAGCCGAGCACATATTTCACAAAAGTCCTTACAATGATCGTCCTCGGCATGGTCCCCATCGTTCCGTTCTCACTGAATACATCGGAGCCCATTTAATTTGATTGTGCTGTTATTGTTGGATCAGGGGGCAATATGTCTACTTCCAGGTATCTATTATGTATGAATTATGTGTCAATTGAAGTTCTTTGTCACATGATTATGTGATATGTCACACTCATCATCACAAACACTCACAATATCAGTGTACATACCATGCATTGCGTGTATTCATGAGTTGTATTCATGCTCCATAACTTAAGTAAGTGAAGTTTGTGCAAATAGATTGAACGCTCAAACTTTGTCTCTACAGGTCTGGTTTGTCACTATGGTGTCTCTTCCCCTTCTTCTGTTGAGCTTTGTCTCAGATTCGTTATGATGTACTAAATCTTAAATCTTACCTAGAACATGTGGAGATGGCGCATCCCATTCTATTTGGGCTGGACTGTAGCTGTCCACATTGGGAGGTGCGTATTTCTCTAGAATCCCTGCTCGGTGGTTCTCTTCTAGCCACCTCAATCTGTATTTTTTGTATAGTTCGAAATAACGACTGCAGTTCTTCTCTACTACCTCCAGACGTTCTTGGAGCCCAGTTAACGTGATATGTTCAACTGCATCGTTGGCAGGAGTCTCCTTTTTTTTCGGTTGTAGATGAGTATCCTCTGAGTTGGTGCACAAGCTTCTGTACCAGTGCGGGTGAGTTATTTAAGTATGTTATGAAGGACTTTGGACAGACATGACGGACATAGACACCTCTGATCCCTCACCTCTCTGGATATTGTCTGTCTTCACATTGATCTCCATCCTTTGGAAGGTAAAGTTTATAAGTGCATTTAGGGATATCGACTCAGACAAACTTACCGCAGGTTCAACTTTCCACAGCAGCCTTTTATCACTAATGATTGTTGCATTGCGAGAAAATGATTTCAAGTTCAACACAAATGTACGCTTTATACTACTCCGCAGGAACTACAATCCTCTCAACAGATGCTCACTTATTGTTTCAATTTGTTCGGGCCATCTAGATGTTTGACATCCACGTAAGGCTCTGTGGCCACATTACAGCATACCAATGGCATGCCCATTGGCGCACTGACATAATGAAATGGCGCCAACATGATATCTTGTTATTGGGATGAGGCTGTGCCTCTACTAATCATGTATAAGTAAATCATCTCGGCTGGTCTACCTGTGAGTCGTCAATATGGACGATGATAATTCATCCTCAAATGAATCTCGCAAGAGAGGTTCATCAGCTCTTCAGCTAGGACCTCGCAAAAGAGCGTGAGTTTTCAAATCACTCAAATTCTCTGGCCTGACCCTGCATTTTAGGTTGAAATCTGATCCCTTAGTTTCGCACGGGAGGCATTTTGGCCGGACAGTTTTCGCTCTCTGCAACTACCCTTCCCTTTTAACCAATGGTATATTACGATTGGAACAACTGGAGGATGCATCCATAGAAGATTTTTCTGCTGAGTTAATACTGTCTTAATTCTTACTCACAATAATCTGACACAGTTGTTAGAGAGCGACGAGAGCACCTAGTCTTTGAAAGACTCTTAGACTCATACCCTGGACTTCTAGAGCGACTGCGAGAAGGCTCAGAGGAAGAAGTTCTTCACGTTGGAGAACTAGTGAGTCACTCATATCTACCAAACATCCTTAGTGCTTAACTGGCAGATCAGTAAGGGAGCATCTGCTGCTCGAGGTGAAGACACCAAGTCGTTGAAACCTATGGTGATCGACTGGATAGTACCTGCAGGAGAACTGGTCCTGCCTCCTTTGCCACGGAATTCCAAGATCGGTCGTGGCTTCAACCACCCTCTCACTGGCCAATTACTCTGTCCTGCTGAATTGGATTGGAATGACGCAGAGTAGGCTGCTTTATTTTTATTCAGACATCAATCGCTGACACTTCTTGATGCTGACCAGGACAAAAAAACAGCTGCAAAGTGGTGAAATTGCTGTCAGTGGAGATCAATGGCCTCGTTTCCTGTACGCCAATGAGACCTATGATCCAGACGATCCTTGGAACGGCCTTCTTAGAAGCCACCTGCTTATCAATGTGAGTACACTTGGTGTCTTTCTGAATTACATGATCACTTAACGTATATACTCTTACAAGGCATTCAGGCATGTGTTTACATCGCCGAGTTCGGTGGAAAAAGAGCCCAAGGCTACGCGTGCTGGCAATGCCCGAATTCATGGTATGATGTGACCTCCTTCTGCCCCAATCACTTCTGCCACTCTTCTAGACATATTGTCTATCAATTTTGGGTATTCCTCTTTGGTGATTCCATCATACTCTGCTATAACACTGTCTCATAGTTGGAATAACCCCTATGGTGAATCTTGATATGCTATAAGTAATTTCTTGAGTGATTCTCAGAGGTATTCAATAGGGTTGATGTCTTGAGTCTATGTTGAACATGATAGAATAGTAATATCATGGTCTGCAGGCTATTGGTGGCTGATTTGGAGGTATACTTAGGGTCATTGTCTTATCACAAAACAGTATCTTCTTCATTAACTTATAACTCCTGCATGCTTCTTAGCAGACATTCCTGTCAAATGAGTATTTACTACTCTGTATTCATACTCCCCTTTGCTTCATAGAAAATTCCCATTCCATTTTATCTCATATAGTCCTATACCATCAAGTTTTCATCTTGAAACTTAAGGTGTTTATTTAACTTTTCTTTATCTTAATGATTGTCCTATCTATTTTAATACAAATTCCTTGCCATATGATCTCATCCTATTGATTTTAACCATATCTAATTAGATAAACCTCTTTCGGCTATCAGCAGTCTAATATCTGTACTTGAAAGTAGCATCTTGTCTTTTCTTTTTATAGGTTGGAGACAGAAGAATCTGTTTTTCTTGATTATAGCTTTAAGATGGGCTGTCTTGAGAGTCTGTCTGACTATTTGAGTAGAGATAGTCATAGGAATGATGGAAATAATCAATTTAGTCACTTTATTAACATCAGCAGCCTTTTAAATTAGAATATAGTGATTAAGAGATCTTAAGTCTTATAGAGCAACCTTCTAGATTGGCTACCAAATAACTTAAAGACCATGATATTACTATTCTATCATGTTCAACATAGACTCAAGACATCAACCCTATTGAATACCTCTGAGAATCACTCAAGAAATTACTTATAGCATATCAAGATTCACCATAGGGGTTATTCCAACTATGAGACAGTGTTACAGCAGAGTATGATGGAATCACCAAAGAGGAATACCCAAAATTGATAGACAATATGTCTAGAAGAGTGGCAGAAGTGATTGGGGCAGAAGGAGGTCACACACAGTACTAGAATTATAGAGATTACATTAGTTAAACTCAAAGTCAAAAAGTGTCCCAATGAGTCATCAAATTAAAATACTCATATCTTCACATAATGTCATTACTTTCCCACGGTATAGGGAACCGAAATGAAGCTGAGAAGCAGACCTTTCCGACATCTTCCTATAGCTTAGTCATATTTCCACGTCTTGACTCATGATATAGCAATTATGTGAAAAGCTACAAACATTGGGACACTTTTTTGAGCCACTGTATATCGCAACGCAGGTCATTGAAATACTTTCGATCATTGTATTTTTGTGGCTGACGATTGAGACAGGTTCGATTTGCAATTTGTTCATCATCAGTGTTTTCTCGCACAGATACAACAACTGATTCAGAGACGTTTTACCACTCTCTTCTTGACCTTCTGGAAGATCCAGATGAAAGAGGGGAAGTAACAGATCTCTTTGTGTGGTGGAATTGGTAAGCCAATAATTTTCTGACGAGTTTTTGAGGTCTCAGTCCTATTGGTTTAGTCAGATATTTCCCACTTCATCAGCAGCTAAACGAACTCTCAAAGCTAACAGTGCTCTCTCTAAGATTCGCCAAAAGCGTGCAGCTCTCAAAGATGCAAATGCCGGTGCTTTGTAATGCATATCTGTGTTGTCCTGGCTAGTTGGTAGTGAAATTTTGTAATATAAATGCTGCCTATTGCTATGCCTATTGCTATGTGCCGCTGAGATCTTTTGCCGATGAGATGTTTGATACCAAATAATAATTGGCTACCCCACAATATTGTTGTGATGCCACATGAACATTCCTGAAAGGCAGTAGCACCATGTGAGACTCACCTTGCAGCTAGATGTCAGTGCCGGACATCCAGTCAATGCCTGACAGCACTCTGTCAGTCATGGACTCTTTGGTGGATATGGTGTGGGCTGGAAACTAAGGAGAGCACTGTGTTACAAGTAACATCGGCTACATGGCCCCCCTATCATTTTTCCCCTTCGTCCTCGCCCTCGTATGCCTCCGGCTCGTACTTCTCTACCGACTATCCGTTGACCGGATCCTCGGGACCGTTCCCGCCCCTCGCTTCCCCCTCCCATCGCACCAACGTGCGCACGTGCCTTCGGGCTATGACTCGTTCTGACTCGTGCCACCAATGTGGCTTTCCTTATCTTGTCTTATCTTTCCTTTGACTCGTGCATGATGCACATTGTATCATTTACCGTTGGCTCGTTCCAACGTTTCTCGGTCTCATTCCGCATTCGACCTTACATCACTAATCAGGCTCTGCTACCAGTGTACCTATACCCTTTCCGTTTCCCCTTTGCCCTTACCTACAGTACGGTAGCCTTGCCCTTAACCCTTTCCACTTAGTATAAGTAGTCGGTCACTCTGTACTAGATTCCCTAACTTGAATCTACTCAATCTTCCCTCGAACATACTTCCCTCTGAAGCCCCCTCAGCTTCAGTCTCTAGTATCTTTTCTTAGGTGCTCATCGCGCCTAAGTCTACCTCGATCGACCACCTCATAGTTCGGACAAGACTGTCCTTACTTTGAGAACGTCAGTGACTTTGAAGACATCCGTCTTAGAAGTCACGTGACACGCGCGTCTCTGATATCTGCCGACTCAACGTCGCCAGTCTCAGTCGCTACACCGGACCCTTCCGGTTACGTCACGAACGTTAGCGGACGACGCCCCTCTTAGGGCTCCGCATAACAGATCTATTTGAGTGCGTAACACACTGTAAATTTGCAGCCATTGGGGAGATATTGGCAGCAGCACCATGTGAGACTTACCTTGCGATGCAAGGCCACCTTTGAACCTCATGGCACATTTGACAGATTCATAATTCAGAACCAAGCCTTACCAGCAACTGTCAAGTGATGTCAAGATGCTAGCTGATTTTCAAACTTAGCATGTTTCCCACACCTTACAATTGGTGACCATGCGTTGCAAACAGTTGGTGTGATTGACAATTTGGAAGTATTCACAATTTGTTTAGCAAGTGATAAAGATGACATTGAGCCAGCAAGCTGATAGACTTTATGACATCTCCCTCCTATATAGAAAAGATAGGGGTGGCACCTTTCATCGATGTAACTCCGGGTATATAAAGCTTTGTCTGTTGATCTATCATAATGATGCTTATTTGATTGAATTTAGACTAGACAATACAATATAAAACATTATCTTTGTTCGGTCAATTCCCTGATGAAATATTGATTTGTTGAATTTTGATTCGGCGAATTTTGCCAGTCCATACATAGCCTTAGTAAGTTAGCCAAAGTCACTTAAGTGGGCTTTAAGTCTGTTTAAGGCAGCATAAGTAACGTGTATTTCTACTGATGACTGCATGGTTCTGTGCAACAGTTTACCAACAAACATTTTGCGTGCGCGACTCCGGTTCTTCTATGTCATTGCAACTCGGCGTCCATCGAGCAGTGATACCTACTTTAACACAACTCAGAACATTGTCACTATTCTATGCAATATACCACTCAAAGTGACACTCGTCGAACATTCGGTCAATACGGACAAACTATTCGTTGAGAATTAATGTCTACTGTTACTCACACTTTTTACCAGAGCAAGTTACTCGCCCATTCGGTAGTCATCTGCAGCGAGCAAAAATATATTGTGCAAAGACCAAATGACACCGTTCTCTTCACTGATGAGCATCGCCCGAGTGTCTCGTAGTTCTGCACGCTGCAACCTCCTTCCTTGTCCTTCTCAAACCAGGCTCATATTCCAATGCATGAACCTGTGCGAGCACATTGTCTCCTAGACCCGTGCCAGTGAAAAAGTCCTCGAGGCAAATAGGGCTACCAGGCCTGTGTACTTGCAAATTAGTCTTTCCTCGACAATGCCAAACATTCCCATGTGAAAGCAGTTGGCAAATTTACGCTGATTGTTGCGATGCTTAACAATATATTACTTTAAATATCATTCTCATTTGTTCACAGGTTCTCTGATGTTGGCCTACGACCGGTCTTTTGGATCTGATCTACATACATTCTCCGAAAGCTGAGTTTTCATCGCTTACGAAGCTGATTGATAAAGCATGGAGAACGATGATGTGAGGTACTTGTCCGACTGTTCTCGGCGTCGCCATATCATCTGCTTCTGATGCTGACTGTGCTGCAGGACAGAAGACCTGCCAGACGATTTGACGCCTTTTATCACTCGAACAACTCTGGACCACGTTCGTGGAGGTGCATTTGGCGATGTCTGGAAATGCAACTACAATCATGATGCAAATGGTATTTCTACCCTCGTCAGTCCATGTGTTAAATTCAATTTACTATGCAACCTGCTAATCGATATCATGATCGGGACATTAATCGATAAGGTTGCGGTCAAGGCCTTCAGACTTCCAGAACATTATGATTTAGAGACACTCAACAGGGTAAGCTTCGTATGACAACTGGATAATAGCACGTGCTGACTTGTACTTTGGACGCACCCAGAAAATCAGCCGAGAGATAGGCATATTAAAGATTCTACGCCATAACAACATCGTACCCTTGTGAGGTATAGCAACCGGATTTGGACGAATTTCAGAGTTGCGCTGCTTGGTATCTCCGTGGATGCCAAACGGCACATTGAATGTATACCTAGTATCTAATCACAACGATCTAACAGTCCTCGATCGTTCACGTATCGTGAGTATTTCTCATCATATCCTATCACTTTTCAAGATAAACTGGAAGTTTCAAGCTGGAGGATGTTAGTGCTGGACTTCGTTACTGTTAGTTTTCATCTATTTTCTCAAGACATTCAAGTTGTGACTTTACCATTGGCGCAAGTGCACTCAATTTCTGTCATGCACGGGGATATAACAGGGGTAAGCCCAGAGCTGCTGCGGCATTCTTGAAAACTGATGAACACGCAGGCAAATATACTGATCGACAAAGGAGGCCATGCGAGATTAATCGACTTTGGTCTCTCCACCATCACACAACCCCTTATCGACCAGTCCCACTTGGCCGCGACATCCATACGTCCAGGCGCAATCCGCTATGCAGCACCAGAACTCGTTCTACCAGACAATACCCGTGAGCTACCAGTGCCTCTAGAAAAAGCTGATATATACTCTTTTGGTTGCATAATGCTTCAAGTGAGTTCTTAGTTCGAACACAAGATATTCGTTCAAGGGCTGACTGACCAGGTTCTCTTGGGTCGGCGTCCTTGGTCTGAGATCCCGTCAGAAGCGTTCATCATCGTTAGCATCTCGCATGGTCATGGACCGCAACGTCCTGATGGTCAACCTACCATAATAGACTCTGATTGGAAATTCATCCAAAAATGTCTGCAATCCGAACCCGAACTTCGGCCTTCGGCAGATGAAGTGCTTGACTTTGTCATGCATAGGTTTTCCTCTCCAGGTAATTCTACGTATTTCATGCTTTCCAACCATCCACTTACAAGAGCTTCAAGACCCTTGTCACGGCAGTGGACCACCTGACGATCCTTCCGACAATGGACCGGATAATGACCCCGGAGCTCCCCCACATAGTGGTTCTGATGAGTCAGATACGGCAGAAAAACCACTCGACAGTCCACCCCGCCCTGATCATGGACCGAAGACTTTTTTCATGGTCACGGATAGTTTGTTCACGCCCGCGGAAAGTTTGTCTGCCTCCACCTCGAGTACTTCTATATTTTCCACACCGCATCTTTCTTACAACGACTCAAGTAACACAATATCTGGGTCCTCCACTAGATGAGAATCTGTTAGTTGTTGACCCTCTGACCGTGCCTCACTACAACTAATCGACCCTTGCAGATGAACCATTTACTCGATGAGATGTTTCAGTGCATGTGGGGTAGTTCTGACGGGTTGCATTGCAATGACTTGTTTTTTGGCTACAATCTTTCTGCTCACCTACGTGAAGTTCATGGAATTTGTGGTCCAGGCAAATCTCGCATCCACCAGGCGATAGTGTCATTATGATGTATTATATTCCTCTCATAGTAGAAGAGAGGTGTTATATCCCGGTCTATGACACAATGTGTGGGAAAGTGATACATCAATCACAGCGCCATGATATATCATGTACTTACTGAGGATTTAGCAGCCGAAGATGATACATCAATCATACTAGCGCCATGATATATCATACTTACAGAGGATATACTACCAGCCATAGAGCCTTGATATATCAGGTACTTTCAAGTTTTGCAGCTGCAGTTACTGTATATTTTAATGATATATCACCCACTGAAAACGAGCTGAATGATCCTCTGAACTACTGGATGGGTGATGCTTCCTTCATTAGTAGCCAGGCGTCACCCGCCTCAGTGGGTCACACACAAGCACAGCTGCAATACATATGATGTATTCTATACACCCTCCTCCCAGTCTCGCCACACTTGAAAATAGTGATATATCAATTATTGCAGCCACGCAGTGGCTGCAATAATTGATATATCACTATTTCACGCGGTGGCTGCAATAACTGATATATCACTATTTTCAAGCGTGGCAGCAATACCTATAGGCTATGATGTATCATATATTCCCTCCCCCTGCGTACGGCTACAGTAATTGTATATTTTTATGATACATCACCTACCTTGATACCTCAGAACATAATATATCATGCATTTTCAGGCGCGGCAGCAATACCTATGATGTATCATATATTCCCGCCTCCCACAGCTGCAGTAATTGCATGTTCAAGTTTTGATGATATATCACCTACCTTAATGCCCTCAGTAGGATACATCCTCTCGAGGGGCTGCACTAACAGGACGGCGCTGGACCGTTGCACAATCACATCAATTTTCTCTTCTGGTCATCATTGACATGATTTCGCGTCTAGGATTATTCAACTTCATCTAAATTTTCAGGACATGATGTTATCTAGCTAGGTACATTGAAAACACAACGGAACTACTTCCGAGACCTTTTCTTCGACCCTCCAACACCACGCTGGACTTCAGTCAGCTTCCTCTTTGGTGCAAGCTTTGTTTCACGTTGTGAGTTATGGCCACCAATTTTATTGGCTCCATCAGCTCGCGTAGAAGGATGTGGTGCGCGTCCCGAGCGTCTGCCAGAGGCAGCGGTAGGTAATGAAGACACTGTCCTCACCTCCAAATTGGGTTGAGGATGATCATCAGCAGAAACACCTACAATGTCGTGAGGCGTCGGCCGGTGAGAAGCTGGCGAAGATTGACAGTCAACAGACACTGTCATCGCCTCCGAATTAGGTTGATGAGTTGGCTGGTGAGACGCCGGCGAAGGTTGATGTTCAACAGACTTGGAATGCGGTGACTTGGAGGCTGTGGATACAAGCGGGGACAAAGGTAACGGAATCGGTTGGTCTGGAGGTGAGCGTGGCCCTGAATTCAACATGGGCTGGTTAAACGCTAATGGATCACGGTGTTGGAGCGTGGGCAGCGCGTCGACCTCCTCGAGTGCAGGAAACACAAAGAACGAAGAAGGCTGGGGCAAGAGGGTGGTATGAAGCAGTGACAATGGATGAGGTAGGAAAGGAGGGACTGCTTCGGCTGATGGACCCACTGCGCTCAAACCTCGTTGTTGAATGCGATTAAAGGTGGGGGATGCGAGCGGGTCTTCGTTGAGCGCCATTGACTTTCTCCAAGCAGTGATTGGCGTGTCTGTCATGTTATGGGGAGATGGGAGGTTTGGGTCACTGCTACTAGTGTGCATCAACCAGTCACCATGTTCGTTCGCTCCCACAGACCCACCGAAGTCCAGGTTGATGTAAGGATTCAACACTAAGTCCCCCGGTTCTTGCAACAGAGAAGGACCAACCACAGGCCCGGATATCACATTCTCTCCAAGTGAGGACTCGTTCGGAAATTCGTCCAGTGAGATGAGGCCAACGGGCGCAAGATGAGACGAGGTCGGGGTAGATGAGGGTGCTGATATACACTTCGAAGATGGACCTATGGTATTTTTCATTAATAATAAATTTTGAGTCGTGTAGCCTGGAATTTCACTTACCATGGATGTATCCAAGGTGTCGTTCAAATGGTAATAGATACTGTTCATGGAAGTTTGGGGTAGACGCCTTGAAGCTCAGACCATCTGCGGTTTTACCATGGTGGTAACTGTTGATGAATCAACAAACAGTCGCAAAGAGGGAATTTGAAATACCTCAACGTCATGATGTCACCTTCACACAACGGATCAGCTCCACCCATGACAACGGTGTAGTGTCATCCACCTGTCAATGCTGAGAGTTCCTCGAAAACTTGACCTAGAATCAAAGGCAGCTCTTGAATTGTCCTTTACATAAATGGTGAGTGATCAGTACCAGTACTTAGTAATACGAATCAAATATGTTTACTTACCGATAAACTTCTTCCTTTGTTCTCGGATGCTGACCCTCAACATCGCCCAATCTTCTGGAAGCATTGAGACGTACAGTCTCCTCCCGAATTTCTTTCTTAACTTCTTCTGACTCTTCTGCAAAGCATTCAGTGGTGTGTAGCCGAACCGTACTAAGCCTTTGGGTAGGTTGCACAATATTATTTTTAAGAGCGTCTTCAACCAACGGTTTGACTTTTGACTCATAGTGCAGTTTGGAATACACTTCAATCTCTTTGAGGTCTCGAGTACCTCGTGCGCGCTGGCCAAGTAGTACAGACAGGGCTCTACCAGTTGAGCTGCCACCAGGTGTTGTCTTTCCCTTTGAGTTATTTCGGAACCATTCCCGCAATTTCTAACGAAGTTATATTCTATAATTAGGTCAATGTGAACACCACATACTTTGCGTCGTTCTGCCGCTCCCATTGGAGGTGAGTTGGACTGGCTGTCTTCTTGTTCGACTAAATCGGGTGTGTTTATAGAATCGAGCTGGGCTGTGTCGATAACGGACTCGATGCCTGCACTGCTGGGCTCATTTATGCCAGCGTTCTCATCACAAGGTGGGCTGCCATTTAGTTCTGTCTCTTCTGGAAAGTCGCTAAACCACCTTGGGAACAATGAATCGAAGAATCGAGGCAATTTCTTTTCTTTTTGCATCTGCAAGTATCCAGGCATCTCATTCTGCAGCCAGAGTAACTGCTCTGCGCTTGTCCATCTGGGGGGCGCCATCTGGATGTAAGGTGAGTATCTGTTATTTATGCTTGGTATCTCACTCACTCACCACTTGTTTTTTTTCACTCGGTTTCGTACAGAGCCAAACAGGGAGGTGCGGTGCCGACTTGACCCACTGATGTTTATTTTTCCTACTCAGCCGCAAAGTTTTTTTCCTCGATGAATCCGGTCATATTTACAACCAAGCAATACCAATCAGTGAGTGAGTGGTACAAATACATTTTTGCACTCGAACTGACACTATAATTCTCTCTACCTCCACCCACAACATGGACCACAGCAGCTCTGACATCAGATGCCCCCACAACCAACCCGTACAAATGCTCCGCCACCCGTGTTTCACGATGGAGCAATTCATCGAGGCCATACGTATGGTACAGAACGGTCATGGTAAGTTTTCGTTATGATATCACCAAAGTGCTTGCTCACCATCACATCTCACACAGTTCCCCCATCGTCACCGAAACCATATGGATGGCCTTACCGACCTGAAGATGAGGTGTGCTCAGTCCATACACAAACAGGTACCATGAACTTGCATACATTTTCCTCTCTCATTTTACTCATAAATTGCGCAGTCTCTCATAGCCCAGAAGACCGCTCCCCGGCAAAAGAGGAGGACACTTCCTCAGAAGTCTCTATTGACGATATTTGTATTGGCCCCGCGGCTGCTGCTGCTGACAACAGTCTCGATAGTTCCTCTTCCGAAAATGGGGGAGAGTCCAGTATGAGCGGTACTGAAACACTCGCTGACCTCGACCCTGCTCTTGAATTTAACTGGTTCGTGACCACTAGTCATTTTGGTGTGGGGCTATACAGTGAAATGTCAGTCGCTTTTTATTGCTCTTGATCTGAACTGCATCTAATTATTCATAGATCTACCACCCGGACGCTTCATGCCCCAGGCACAACTGTCCATTACTTCACCACACTCCATGAAGCTAAGGAGTATTTCAGGCTTGCCTTGGCGGTGTGGTGTGGTGAGACGGTCTAACGTGAAAGTACTGTTTGTCACTGCAAACTCAAAATATCATGGGGTGTCCCCAATGAATAGGTTCCGCAGGGATTAACCGTTTCATTCTTACATATGCTAGATACTCAATCATGATAAATATTTACGTTTGAATCAGACATGCGAGTCTTGTATGACCCAGGCCTCACAAGCAACGTCATCTGATAAGCTTTAAGCTCGGTTCAGCATGCCAACAGTGATTCTCGCATGGCCGATAATATATCACAGGCCCATCAGAAAGTCCAGGTCTGCCATTGAGTCACATCAGAGAACCTGTGAGAAGAAGATATCGTCATATATCGTCATATATTGTAATATACAGTTGTACAACATTTGGTGTGCTTGCGCAAGAAAATGCTTTCGACAATATATTTTAACACAAGTGGCACTGAACAAAAAAAAACAAAAAAAAAACATTACTGAAGAGCACATGATGATGTTGATAAACAGCGCAACTTGATTTCAGGATGTCTTCAGTAATGTTTTTTTTTTGTTTTTTTTTGTTCAGTGCCACTTGTGTTAAAATATATTGTCGAAAGCATTTTCTTGCGCAAGCACACCAAATGTTGTACAACTGTATATTACTTTGTGACACTTACCTACCAGCTCGCCACCATCTGGCCAGTATCCAGCAAGACACCAAGTCATCCGCGTTGCAAAAATTGAATTTTATATTGTCTATCATAGTACAGGTCTGTCCCGAAGTGTGGCTCATATGCCACCAAACAATACAGTGAGTTGTTTACACTAATTACTGGTACGTTACTACATACACCTTGTCCCTCAGATCATTGCCGCAATGGCACCAAAATATGGAACTGCAGAAGAACGCCGCAGAGCTCGATTGCAGAGCAAACGACAACATTATCAACGGTCAATTTCAATTTCAATCACTCAGAGTCTATCAAGATACTTAATGAATTTTATTTGTTTTCTTGTAGCAATAAGACTACGGAGCAGGCAAAGTCTCGAACTCGTTGGCGGGTGCGAAGTTGTCATTTTAATGATGTACGTATTTCCTTGATATACAGTGCTATATGTATCTACACTTTCACAAACAGGATGTTGTTGCATTGTTTCGCACCTTAGACCAACTGAGCACTGAACTTGGGTACAAGTCTGGTGTTCCCGAGGCACGCATTATGCAATCTCGCGTTATCGCAGTGCTCCGGAGAGTGAGTGACGAGGGTTGGAGTGTGCTACGCCCTGAGTTGAATGATGTATGTATTACTCTGCTGGGTCTGCAGGTGCATGCTACCAAGTTACATGATGCCGTGCAACAACTTGAATGTACGTCTGGGACTGGATATCACCTCTTGTTGAAGCAGAGCCAGGAACTGGTGGACTTGATGGAGAGACGGCTTGCAATAGAGAAGGAAGTCATATCAATAATAGACGAAGGAGGTGTTGAAGCTTATGATGAGGCAATGTTCGCCGACTTACTCGTTTGGCAGACTGCGGTTGATATATCAGACAAGTCTTAATATAAACCAGCCGAATTTGTGAACTGCGTCTCACTAACACCGACGACAAATGGTTGGAGGCCAGAGACGGCGAGCCCTGAAGCATTATCAGCGCGATTTCTATGCGCACAGTGCTGCTGCTTCAAAATCAGTGAATAACGATACCAATGATGCGCCTCAACACACACGTGATGTTCAACAATGCAAGCACAGCAGTTTTGAAACAGGACAAAGTGGGCGGTTGAACGTCTCTTCAACCTACTACACCGTTCCAAATTCTCCAGGGAAACGCCGTCGTGGAGATTCAGAAGTCCTACTGGAGACTACAGAGTTTAACTTTACAACTCTCGATGACTTTCCTGATAACCTTCAAAATGACACGCCGGAGTTTGTAGAATTCGCGAGGCAAAAACGCACTGTGGTTCATGGTGAGGCCTTGCGCTTATGGGAATCTGATGCCAACTTGTTCTTGGAGGAATTCCTCCGTCTGGAGGGTCAGGGCGACTATTCGCAAGACATTTGTGTTTGTGGTGAGGAAGCTGCGATATATCGTTGTCAGGATTGTCACGGTTCCGAGATGTTCTGTCATTTGTGTATGGTCCGTGTACATGCAAGACAGCCGTTTCATAAAATGGAGGTATGTGCATAGATACTCACATTCCTTACATCAACTGACTCTTGTGTTTTAAACTTAGCGTTGGGATGGCATCTCATTCGACGATATTACCTCGAAGTCCATGGGGATACGTTTGCAACTTGGACACACCTCTGGTGTTTGTTGTGACAACCCACTCCCTGCTTTCAACAACGACTTCGTTATCATCCACTACAACGGTATCTACGAAGTGGGGTTAGATTTCTGCGGATGCGCTTCTGCTCAGCCACACATCGTTCAACTACTACGTGTTCGTCTCTTTCCTGCCACAACAGTCGATCCCAAAACAGCCGTGACATTTCGGGCACTGGAATACTTTCAAATGTTGTCTTTCGAGTCCAAAGTTTCCACGTTTGAATTTTACAAAACAGCTGCCCGTTTGACGGACAATACAGGAATTCATGTACCAAAGGTATGTGCTAATGTTAATTCTAATTCTCTTCTAATTTGTCATATTACAATCTAGGACCGTTATGAATCTATGTTGCGCATGATGCGAGAGTGGCGGTTCATCAAGCAGATGCAACGCGCTGGTCAAGGTCATCACCCCAAAGGTATCGCAGCAACTGAACCAGGCGCATGTGCTGTATTATGTCCTGCATGTCCCCATGTAGGAAAAAATCTGCCAGATGGATGGGAAAACGCACCATCTGAAATACGGTATGTACGTTTAGCATCTTTTCCCTCCGACTTTGCTCTCACACAGATCCAGATTCCTATATGCCTTATTTCTGGGCATTGATGCCAATTTTCGTCTGGCTCGCCGTAACGTCTCTTCGGCCACGGCCGATCCTGGTCTCAATCACGGATATGCTTTTTTTGTAGAGGAACATGCCTACAAAAGTTTCATCAGTTCACAAGAACGAGCTGCCCAGGAGGTAAGTCCATCATTCTATTCGTCCTGGGCACTAAGTATAACTCTGTGCAGATAAGTTCGTGCTCCAGTCACAATGCAGTAAATCTCGCAGATACAAGAGTCTCGCGTGGGCTTGCGGCCACTGGCGCCGGTACCATTGATTGTGCACGACACAATTTCAAACGGCCCTGCTCCGTCGGCGACTTACAAAAGGGTGAACGGTGCATAACATTCACTTTTTAGTCATATTATTATTAACAGCACAATACAGGTACCTTAATATGGATTACTTATTTTTCTCTAGCATGCGGTCTTCATCGGACATAGTGGCATTAAATATATCGTACGATATCGCCTGCCAATGGAGCAAGCATATCTGGACACGTATGTCCGCCTTCCCGCACCAGTACCACATCAAACACCACGAAAAGTCCATTGTGTTCCTCGTACCGAAATTTCACCTGCCAGCCCACATCGCCAAATGCCAGACATCCTTCTCCTTCAATCTGATCAAGGGTGTTGGTCGCACGGACAGTGAAGCTCCAGAGCGCGGGTGGGCGGACATAAACCCCATTGCTACAAGTACATGCAAAATGGGTCCCGGTTCAAGGCGTGATACCTTAGACGACCACTTCAATGATTGGAATTGGAAGAAGATATGCGCAATGGGTGAGTTTTTGGCCTCTCACTGAATATCTGAACTTACAGTTTCTGTCTCGCAGGTTTAATTTTCCGCCGAAAGTACAACTTCGCATTAATTGAGGTCCAAGAACGTGTCAACGATCTCACCAATTTCGAGGCTTCTCTTGCCACAGATGAGCTAGCTGAATGGAGGAAGGACATTGAGGCATGGGAGGAAGACCGTTCACGACCGAACCCATTTGAAGACAGAGCTACGACAAGTACGTGTACTCTATTCAACGCATTTTGAGAAGCTGATGGTGTTTTCAACAGCAATGACTCAGGCTGCCGTGCGTCTGGCCTTATCAACGGCAGAGGCCACAGAGATTGAGCGCGGTAACGATGTGTCCCTACATGATGATATCTCGCCATCAGTGCTGATTTCATCGGGATTAGAACTTGAAGATCAACAGTTGCATTGACATTTCTGAACTTCACTGGATCACAAACTGACTCTATTCTAGGCGCCGTCTTGAATTTGATGCCAAGGTGGTTGGACAACACACTACAGATGTTCAGAAGGGAAAGCTCTTACAGCGGGTGAATGCTCTTTGCCGACGCATTGACACATGGGGCCGGGTACAGTTGTTGTATATGCCTGGCGTCTCCCGCCTGCGGTCGCCGGATGACGTTGCAACTGAAGCCAAGGTTCACAACATTAACCTGTTCCTGCCGTCCTCTCTACCCCATCGAGTACTGTGTGACGACCGCTTGCTCAAACATGAGTGGGAGTTGCGTGAAGCTCAAGCGTATGACACACTGAATGACCTCCGCACTGTGCTCAACCTGCGATACCATCTTTACAAGTATAAGGATACATTTATCCGAGGACAGCGAGCAAATACCCGAGCAAACGGAATCATCAATAACGCTGAACGTCGCATCGACGCCTTATCACTTAAGTATTCCACCTCTAGAAGCGCACTTCTGAATCTGGCATCAAGGCTGGGCAAGAACGACAACTGGGAGAGGAGCCTGAAGCCACTTGACAAGCAAAAGGATGCGGTACCACTCAAACACGACGATGGCCGAACAATGGGGCAGCAAAGTATATCGTGGATCTGGAAGACTTCAGGCTCCAACAGCAACGAGCTAGGGCTGCAGGACTGTAAGTACGCTCTAACCACTGGTGCTTCTCACTGACCTGGCCATTTTATAGCACTACGTGTTGAATGGTGCAAGGCACGAGCGCGAGCTCATCGCTGGGAGGAAGAAGTGCAGTTACTGCGTGAGGAAATGCGCCGCGTCATTGCATTTCTCGACTGGCACGCTGGCTGGTGGGACACGCAAGGTTCACGACGTACTTTTAGCTCACTGCAAGCCGGAGAGGGTGCACTTGCTTATGCCCAACGCCAGGCCAATCTACGCCGAAAAATGGCTGTCCACTTCAAATCCATGTGGGCAGCCAACTCTTCATGGCAAGCTCCCCTCGCAGTTGATCTTCATTCCTAGTTAAACCCCAATTCCCCTCCTTTTGACGAGGGCGAGTATATAATATACTATGTATTTACAAGTGATATATCATGCAAGCTTTGAAGGTGATATGATGTGCAAACTCCGTTCGCAAGTAATATGTCACGCGAGCCTCGTGTAGAGCTTCCAAGGTGATGGCATCACAGAAACCAGTGATATATCACCTTCAAAGTTTGAGGCCCGCGTGTCACGCGGGCCTCAAACTTTGAAGGTGATATGATGTGCAAACTCCGTTCGCAAGCAATATATCACGCGAGCCTCGTGTAGAGCTTCCAAGGTGATGCATCACAGAAACCAGTGATGTATCACGCAGACTAATGAAAGTGATATATCATGCAAGCCTCACAAGCTTTTAAGGTGATGTATCACACAAACTAATGATATATCACGTGGGCCTCTCAAGCTTTGAAGGTGATACATCACGCAAACTGGTGATATATCATGTGATGCAGGACATCGGACTTGATGTATCACTGTCTACGTGATACATCACAGCACAGCCTGCAGGAAAGGTGAGCGAGTTGATACATCATGGTCTATGGACCACAGGCTCTGATATAACATCAGCCTTCTACAATACTAGATATTAATATATCATACCTACAGGGTATTGTGCATCCACTGCATGTGGAATGGTTGTAACATGGAACTTAACAAAGAATCCCTCTCGAAGCATGTGGAAGAGAAGCATTTAGGAATTGTGTACACCTGTGGATGCGGGAAGATGTTCTCGCGTAAAGATACCCTCAACCGACACATGATGACGTGCATGGCCTAGAGTTTGCATCTTAATACCGAGTCACTGGTATACCGGTATGTAGTATATACGTAGCAGTCGAGTCCAGATATGCAGTTCGAAATCATAAAGTGTATTATATGTGAACGCGTGTACATGTATCTAGGACCTCGACCCAGACGAAGATGCACAGGTAATCTTCTGGATTGCGATGTCCCCCGGCGTGCTCGCCGCCTCCTTTTCTGTCTTCGCCTTCGCAGCTTGCCTTCGCCTCGAATTCTCGCCCAGCTCTGCAATGCCATTACGTATGATATGAAGGTATCTCGCGGCTAGTTCTTGTTTGGAAGAGACGCCATCCTTCACAGGTGCGGTAGGTGAATATGCACGCGACGGGGGTACTTTCTTCGAGATGAGTTTCATGAGACGTAGCTTCCTCGATGGATTAGACGCAAATGTAGATGAAAGTGTGCTTGTCTACGGTGTGGAAAAATCAAGGAGATGCCGTGCGGCGAGAGACAGACGTGCTGGTGCTTGATGCCCATGTGGACGCGTGCTCAGACGCATCCAAACGGGCTGCAAGTAGAAAAAGCAAGTCAAAAACACCTCGAATGTTCTCGTGTGAGAGCACGTACGTTTCTGTTCTCGCTTTCCCTCGTTTTGCTCTCTGCATCTACATGAGTTCTCGGATGACAGGGTCAAGTTGGGATTGTTTCCATGTAACGTAGCCGACATCGTCGTTGATGCCCATGTTAGCGGATGCAGGCCGAGTACTAGCACGCGCCCATTGGGACGAAGAGGAGAATCGTAATTTGGAATGAAGGGGATGGCTCCACGTCCCAGTCCATTGCACACACGGTGTTAGTTGGATGTAATCAAATACAAGTGAGAGAAAAGACTGTACGTTTTGTACAAGAGACAGATTAATTGCAAAAGCTGTGACTTGTCAGTATTGAAAGGCTCAGGCCTCTGTTGCCATCCATGAGGAGCGAATTTTCATATGTGTACCAGCTATAAGTTACGCTGCACTTGACGCGGCGACTCGGATGATTTGTGCCAATATTAATGATCTGGTATCTGTTTCCATTTTGAATTCAAAGACCAAGAATTTGATATATCGGATACCCGGGCTAATTTCTATCGATATCCACCATTTAGCGCAGGTCAATAATGGTGAGCACTGCTATTAAGTAATTAACACGAGTCGCATAGCTAGACGCCTATAGGCTACATCCAGCCGTGGATTCACAGGATAGTACAGTTGACATTTCATCACTTATAAAGTTGATCGAGAAAGTATGGAGAACGACGATGTGAGGTATGAGCACATTGTCACCGTGCTTGGTGTCGCCGTATTTGTTTTACTGAACTTATGACGTGACCGCGCTGGCAGCATGGAAGACTTGCCAGACGATTTGACGCCATTTATCACTCGAATAGCTATGGATCACGTTGGTGCAGGTTCATGTGGCGATGTCTGGAAATGCAATTATACTAATGCAAATGGTATTTCTACCCTCGTGAGTCCATGTGTTGGATTCAATTTACTATGCAACTGGCTGATCATGATCTTGATCGATAAGGTTGCGGTCAAGGCTTTCAGACTTCCAGAACATTATGATTTAGAGACACTCAACAGGGTAAGTTCTGTGCAAGGACCGCATATTAGCCTACACTAATTTTGGACGCACCTAGAAAATCAGCCGAGAAATCGGCATATTGAAGATTTTACACCATGACAACATTGTACCATTATTGGGTATAGTGACAGGATTTGGATCTAGGCCAGAATTGCGCTGCTTAGTTTCTCCGTGGATGCCAAATGGCACATTGAATGCATACCTAGTATCTAACCACAACGACCTAATAGCCCTGGACCGTTCGCGTATGGTGAGTCATTACCATCACATCCTTTCACTTTTCAAGACTAACTCGAAGTTGGAAGCTGGAGGATGTCAGCGTTGGACTTCGTTACCGTTAGTTTCCATCTTTTCTCAAAACGTTCAAGTTATAACTTACGTTTGATGCAAGTGCACTCACATTCTGTCGTGCACGGTGATATAACAGGGGTAAATTCAGAGCTGTTGTGTTATTCTTGAAATCTCATGAATATGCAGGCAAATATACTGATCGACAACGGAGGTTTTGCAAGATTGATCGATTTTGGTCTTTCCACCATTACACAACCCCTTCTTGGCCAGTCGCATTTGGCGGTGACATCTATATATCACGGCGCAATCCCCTATGCTGCACCAGAACTCATTCTACCAGAGACTACATGTGACCCAGGGTTGGAGGACAAAATTGATATCTACTCCTTCGGTTGTGTAATGCTTCAAGTGAGTTGATGTTTGGTCACAAAACGCTCCCCTGAGGACTGATTGAACAGATTCTCTCGGGTCGGCCCCCTTGGTCTGAGATTAAATCTTCAAGGCCGGTGGCATGCATTACTGCCATGATATCCAAAGGTTTTAGACCGCAGCGTCCAGATGCTCATCCTGAAATAATAGACTCCGATTGGAAATTCATCCAGGAATGTTTGCAATCCAAACCTGAACTTCGACCTTCAGCAAATGAAGTGCTTGACTTTGTCATGCATAGGGTTTCCTCCCCAGGTAATTCCTCATGGTTCGCGGCGCTTTCCACCATCGACTGACATGAACTTCAAGAATCTTGTAGTAAACCGCCTGAGGATCATCCCGATGACGCGCCGGATGATTTCCCTGGAACTTCCCCGCGCGGTGGTTCCAACGACTCAGATACAACAGAGCAACCACCCGACAGTTTACCACTCTATTCTGATTATGAACTGAAGACTTTGTTCACGGTCGCAGATAATTTCTCTGCCTTCACTCCTGCATTTGCCGTATCAACTATTTTTTACGACAACAGGTATAATGGAGCATCTGAGTCCTCCATTATACCAGGATCTGTAAGTTATCGACCTTCTGACCGTGCTTCACCATGATTAATCGACCCTTGCACAAGTGCCATTCTCTCGAAGGAATGTTTCAGTGCAAGTGGAATGGTCCTAACGGGCTATCTTGCGATCACTTGATTCATCCCCACGATCTCTCTTCTCACCTACGTGAAGTCCATGAAATTCGTGGCTCAGGCAATTCCCGCAACCAGTGCATCTGGGATGGTTGTAATAGGGTGCTCAGAAGAGATACCCTCTTGAGGCATATAAATGAGGTTCATGGGCGGGTTGTGCGCCACTCATGTGACTCATGCGGAAGGAAGTTCAGGCGTCTATGTATGCTCAATGGCCACAGGAGGACGTGCACTGTGATCAGCAGTAGTTCATGATATGGGGAGACAGCAACGTGCGCACAAGCTGGTTTGAAGGTTCTGGCTCATGATTAAATCTCATGTATAATGATATGATATCCTGCGCATCAGTGGACACACATTAGCAGACTTAAGCTATTTTGATGTTGCACTTGGCGTGTCGACTCGTGCCAACCTGACCCAAATTTGATGATGTCTGGAAATGGATCCTAATACTTAGCAACTGGTATACCGGCCGGTATGTAGTATACGTAGCAGTCAAGAGTCCAGATATGCAGTTCGAAATCATAAAGTGAATATTATATGTGAACGCGTGTACATGTATCTGAGTAGATGGATTAACAAAGACAGATCGAAAACATGGTATTCACCTTCCATAGCATACACCCACCTCGCATCCTCTGGCGTCAAAAACCCATACGTCCACCCCATCAATCATACTGCCGCATGGCCGCCTCCAAGGCATCCACATCCACATCAAAAGACACATCAAACGACGAATCTGCACCTGCCACACCGAGTTTATCCTCCTCCTCATCATCACCATCATCGTTGCTATCGTCCTTGACCAGCTCGGGCGTCGAAGTCGGCGGGCTTTCAGGAGTCTGAAAGACCTGCTTTGGCGCGGAAGTAGGGATCGAGTTGGGCTTCTTGAGTAGCGGAGGCTTGAAGGGCGGAAGCGTCACTGGCTTTTGTCCCTTTGCTTGTGAAGCCGCATAGGGCGACTGCGTGGTGGCGTAGCGCGATTGCGATAAAGGGAATCCGGAATTTGGGAGATTGTGGTGCCGGCGCATCCCCAGCGGCGGGGGACCTCGTTGAGTTGCTGAGGGTGCTACAACATGTCTCGACTGGTGTATCTTCTCTGGAACTGCTGTAGATGCAGAAGTGGATGCAGTTGCGGTAGGGCTGGTGTCCATAACAATACTGGGGGTCCTCCCCACAGCACGCTTGGGAGGAGGTAGCACGTCATCTACATGCATCGAGAAAGACTCGTTTGGAGCAAAGTCACCTGCAGAATTGGTGAAAGTACTTTCCTCGCGATCCGTATCTCGATCTGAGTCCAACGTCATCTGGATGTCTCCGCATGTGCCACTGTCTCTAGAAATTTTGACTGTAGGTTTGAGAGTTGCAGAGCTCGATGATCTACTGATCACATTTCCTCGCAGAGGTGCAGAAGAAGAAGTAGACGAGATACTAGCCATCTTCTTTAAAGGCCTTGCAGTGAACGCGGTAGATGTGGACCTCGACCCAGACGAAGATGCACAGGTATTCTTCCGGGTTGCGATATCCCCCGGCGTGCCACTCGCCGCCTCTTTTTCTGCCTTCGCCTTCGCAGCTTGCTTTCGCCTCGAATTCTCGTCCATCTCTGCAGTGCCATTACGTATGATATGAAGGTATCTCGCGGCCAGTTCTGATTCGGAAGATACGCCATCCTTCACGGGTGCGGTAGCTGAATACGCACGCGACGGGGGTACTTTCTTCGAGATGAGTTTCATTGGATGTAGTTTTCTCGATGAATTAGACGCAAACGTAGATGCAAGTGTGCTTGTCGAAGGTGTGGAAAAACCGGGGAAGGATGCCGTGCGGTGAGGAACAGACGTGCTGGTGCTTGATGCCCATGTGGACGTGTGCTCAGACGCATCCAAACGGGCTGAAAGCAGAACAAAAGCAAGTCAAAAACACCTCGAATGTTCTCGTATGAGAGCACGTACGTTTCTGTTCTCGTTTTCCCTCCTTTTTGCTCTCTGCGTTGTGCATCAGTTCTCGAATGATGGGGTCGGGTTGAGATTGCTTCCATGTCACGTAGCCGACATCGTCGTCGATGCTCATGTTAGCAGATGTAGGCCGAGTACTGGCGCGCGCCCATTGAGATGATGAGGGGAATTGTGAAGGAGATGGTCCTACGTCCCAGTCCATTGCAGAGTGCTAGTTCGTTGTAAACAAATGTGGTAAGAGAAAAGACCGTCAGAAATACGTTTTATACGTTGGATCACGATTAGTTGAAAAGGATTGAATGAATCGTCACTGAGATGAAAGAGACGGACAATGAAAATTCAATGGCCCACTCGGGCTGCGACGTTCGAAAGTCTACTGTTAGAGCGATGCTGTCTGTTTTCAGTCACTGAGTGTTTCCACCAGACCTAGAGCAGATCCCAAGTTGCTGCGAGTTCAGAATAAGCACCAGCTAATCGCTGTCTGTGACCGTTCGGACTCACCGTACCCAGGCTGCGAAAAAGCGCCTGCTCCCGATCAGGAAGGAGATCCACATAAACTCTTGTAGACCCTTGTTTGTTCCTTTGTCCCATTCATTCGTTATTTTACCTTTGATGGCTGTTCAACGTTCAGACAAGCGCGAAGCACTGCAGCTCCACATGGCCAACCTACACGTGTTGGTGAGTTGCTACTGATGACTATACTTGGTGCCCACCCTGGCACTGGCTGGCAGCTAAGATTATCTTCCGTGTGTCGTCCTAACCTAGTACCCCTGAGAGAATAAGGCCTCATCTAGATTCACAGCTTTCTCAAGTGCCTGAGTCGCGAGAATACTCAAGTTTGGATGTACTTCCCGTTATAAATAAGAGTGTGCATGGATATGTCAGGCGACCTCCATGCGGCTCGGTGGAGTTGTGTGATACCGGCCGACAAGTTAGCGCCGGGTCCGTGGTACATGTCATTGCCGAACAAAAGAAATGCATCCGTTTGGTGATACAGATTACAGCTACAACCAAACTACAACCTCCAAAAACTACATCGTTTACAGGCTTGGTCGTACAACAGTCGCGTCACATTATCAATAAGTTAGGACGTTCAAAAGGCATAGTTCTGTCCTTCGTGGAAGTACCGCCAATAGGCAGGGAGAAGATGTGCGACAGAAAACCATAGCTATAACATCACATCAGGAAAGACGCACGTCAGTCAGAGAACGCCACTCACACTATACAATTTGCAAGACATTCGCGCTGCCTTTGATGTCTTGCAGGTCATGAATCTGAGCCCTACCATCGCTGCATATCCTGTGAATGCAAGCGTGCAGAGTGTGTCCACTCCCCAAACACGAGACAAGCAGATGGACCATAGAGGAAGGGCCACCAGCATAGATGTCCGCGCGAGATTCGGGAATGCTATGGGTAATGTTTGTCTGCCGATAAGGCGGTCTCCTTCCACGTCTTTGAAGTCCTGAGCGTGCAATGTGCTCGTGAATACGGCAAGGCTTAAGCAAATCGCTGAAATCGCGGTGGGTTCTAACCGTGACATATCTTTGCCTGTTCGAGCAATAAATCAGCAAAGCATTCATTCGGAGATAAAATGTTCGGTAACGAACCTGCGATAAGAGTGGAACCAATTTCAAAGCAAGCGTAACCCACTGCCGTTATAAAGTTCTTCGAGATCCAATGCTCGTGGGCTTTAAGCTCATTATAGAAGATTATGAACAGCGTCAACACGAGGCTTAAGCCAAAGACTTGAAAGCTGTAGCATGCGGATAGGGCGAGACATATGGGAATGAGAGCCCAACGTAACACAAGAGCGTCTTCTAGGCTTATTAGTCCTGCAGGTATCGGTCGAGAAGACTTGTTCTTCCCATCCTCCTGAGGATCGATTATTTGATTGGCGACATTAAAATGGAGTAGATGGAGCCAAATCCAGAACACAATGTGTGAAAAACGTTGGAAATTGCAGAGTGGCCCAGCCACGACTGCGAATAGCGTCTGATATGGTCAGTGTACGGTGACAGAACGGCGAAAGAGTGATACACACAATGGGAACAATGGTAGTGGTGATGTCGTCGCTCGTGAATGAATACAGAATTTGGAGGTAGAGCATGATGAATCGTGAGGGGAATGGAAAAGGCCCTGGCCTTTTAGTAACGTACCGCTGGACTGTAATAACTACTGAGGAGTGAGTGAACGGCCCGGTATAAATACCCTACGGCGATGTAAGCATATCTTGTAATTCGATGATGAAAGTTTGTTTGATCGTCATCATGTTTCGAAACCCCGATTCCACCGATCGGTTGACTATTTCATAAAAAGACAGATTCCGTGGGCATGAGGCACAAGGGCGGTTGTAGGTGTAGGCGGTTGTTGGGAGACAAAGGTGCTTGTGGGAGTAACACGACCAGATACTCACCCAGTTGGGCGTCAAATTGCCAAGAGTGTCTACATAGCCTCGTCTCAAAAACAGTTGGTGATAGGATAAAAACGAGCGCTCACAGACCTTGGTGAACAGCTCCAATATCGAGCATCTTTCGCGGGAGCAGTGGCAAGCCACGAGGTTGAGCCGATCAAGCTTCTTCATCAATTTCCGAGAAATCTGATAGAATATATGATGAGTAGCGAAATCACAAATGTATGAAATTCTAGATAGGCACGTACGATATGTGGTCAATCGAACATAGGTTAGCACAGAATTGCACCCGCTTAACCAGCGTCCACGATAGTCACGATATTCAAGAAGCTATTATTGCCAAATAGGTATACATCCGTGACATCTATCCTTCTTTGGCTGAAAAGTTTTGCAGTCTTCTAACCGGCTTGGTAGAGCGATGATAGGCCTTGAAACAATCCTCATCATCTCACCAATGAACCGTTTACCAAGCTGTGGGGGTGATCATATCAAGGTCTGTGATCATCTGCGCAAGAAAAATGTGTTTCATTGATTGATGCACGTCAAACAGGCTGTGTGACGAGGATTCGAACTGTTCATTCGTGACGGAGGTGAACGGGGCAGAAGCGGATTGGCTCATCACATCCCGTGACACGCGAGCCTTGGCAAACGTTACTACGAGTCGATAGGGGTTGCAATGGCCAGCTCATCTTCCTCATGTATGTAACCTTTGCCTCGTGTCTCCGGGACCGATCAGGGTCGATTTCCAGGTGCCTGTCGAGTATCATAAAAAAGAAGAAATGAAAGAAACAACTTGTCTGGATCTTGGTCTGTCTTCTTTCCCCATACCGCAACTAGACAAGTGTCTAGCTAGCGAGACCACTTGATAACTTGTTCGATATTTGCATTCGCGCGACGTCGCATCGGTAGGATGCGGAACTCAAAATTTGTAAAAGATGGTGTATGATTAACGCGATAAGACATACCTCCAGCGTATCATACATCGTACGACCTTCTTAATCCCGACTAGTCAATTCCGACGGGCTTATTCGGAGGGAGGAACGAGGGTGTTGAACGTTGAACATTCTATGACGCAGCTACGGCCTGAGAGTGGAGATGTACAATCGGTGGGGCTACGGTAGGCCCTTGTATGCGGCTTCCGAGTCGTAGTTGTGGATACAGACCGCCGGATCTCTCAGTCTAGCCCATAATAAGTTGACCGCAACTTTTCAAGAACCGGCATCCTTCTATTTGTCAGTCTGCCTAGGGATAGTACGACCCACCACCTAAACCGAGTTCGGTCATGAGCTTCTCATTCCCCAACGGGGGAGGTGTTTAATACATGCTTATGCCATACGCACCGTGCTTCGATCTCGAGGCCTCTATTTTTGTCTGGTCTCGGTGTCACCAGCGCTGTTCATGTGAACATGTGTGTCACAGAATAAACTTGAGTTGTGGTAATACTTACCGGGGGTGTAGATTGGTTAACCCGCATTCTAGCCAGACTACTTATAACGTTAGACTTGTGTGCGTGCAAGTACTCCACTCGTACTAGCTTTTCCGAGTCCCTTCGTGATATGGTGCTACTAGTGAGTGTCTCAGCAGGTTGGTGTCAGCTAGGCTGACAAGGCTAGTGGGCACGTAACAGACCTTTTCGACGAGAGCACACACCAGCGATAGCCTACCGCGCCACACTTCGCCTCTCTTGCAGGGTCCCTTGTTTCTCGACCTAGACCAAACTTGCCTTTTCCCCTCAGCTATCCAGAATACGACCGAGTCGTTATCACCCCAAGTTTGCTGCGCACTACTGTTGCATATGTACGTCCCTCACAGATTGTCCGTGACATCCGACACACTACAGCTTTCGCCAACGATCTATCGCTTTTGTTCGACGAAAATGTTTGCCGAACTTCGACAGAACGTTCAACGTTCCACTGCAAATTTATCCGTAAGTAACAACACTAATGAGTGACAACAGAGCGCCCGTGGCTCTAATATAACAAAAGTCCAAAAACGCCCGAAACGACAGATACTACGTTGAAGCACACGGAACAATAGAGCTTCAACATCACCGCACGCGATATATAGTTGTAGCTATAAATGAATGAGCAACAGGAAAGAAACAAAAAAAAACTGAGATAGTCCACACAACAAGCGCTGTCTGTCCGTTTCTATTGTCATGTCCAATGTTCATAACCGCTGTCCACTGCTATGTTGCACTGCGCCATCTGAATTATATGGATCATAATCTGCCCCCTCTCTCCCATACGTATCCCGATACGGTGAATGCAGACTAGTGTTACTCGCATTCCATGAGGTGCTTGAATTATCCTGTTGCAACGGGACAAATGCACTCGAGTCAGAATGACGCACTCGATCATCGGTGGCTCTTCCGCGGGACGCGCCGCTACCAAACCCGTCACCTGTGGCTTTCATGGCATACGCAGCCGCAGGATGCTGGCGGCTGGCGGCGCGCCGACGTCGAGCCACAAAAATACCAAAGAGCGCACCGAGAATACCAATAACAGCAATCGCTCCGATCACAGCGCCAACGATGGCTCCGGTGTGACTGCTCCCCGATGCACTGTTTGACGAAGTGCTGCTACCCGAGCCCGAGCCCGAGCCTGAGGCAGAGGGATTTTGAGCGGAAGCAGGGAGAACAGTGGCAGCTTGCGTGGGTTGCGTCCCGATTTGACCGTTGCCGACAATAACCATCGTTCCATTACTGGGAATACCGTCGATCACGACGAACATGAGAGCAGGTCCGGGGGTGAAGATATTGGGGTTTGGCGGAACTTGAGCCACGTGAAGCGTGATTGAATCGTTACTGTTGACGGTGTACGTGTTGTTGAGCTGCAAGTACCTTTGACCCATGTTCATGGCGTGCGTAGTGAAACCGCCACGCAATAGAACAACAGTCGTATTTGCAGCGGCAGCGTTGCCAGAGCCGCTGTACGCGCTCGAAGGAACAGTGAGGTCGAAGGAGCTACCACCGTAAGAGAGAGTTTGCGGTGCGCCAGAGAAAGTTGGGCGTTTACTGGCGCTATAGTATGGTGGATAGAAAATTTCCGCGGTGTAGGTTGTGGGGAAAATGGTGGTGAGGTTGACATCGATGTTAGGGTTGGATCCGGCGATCATGACGGTAGCGTCAGGCATGAGTAAGGCACTGGAGTGGTACAGACGTGCAATGTTCGTGCTACTCAGACCGGCGTTCGACCAGCGGCTGCCTGCGGGCAAATTCGGGTTGTAGATGGCAGGAGTTCCGACAGGGCCAGAGGCCAACGACTCGCCGTAGGGCATGAGGTTATAACTAGGGGTCTGACCAGTAGCCTGAGCGTAGCCAGCAGTACCATTTAAACCACCATTGATAACCAAAAGGGTACCATCTGGAAGGATGATGAACTGACCCATGGTACGGCCCTCGAGCATGTCATCGTCTGAGACATAAACAGGAGAAGAGCCATCTGTGGGTTCTGGAGTGAGGCGCTGACAGTCCTTGGAAGCAGGGTAGGTCCAGGTGTTATAGTTGGGGAATGAATAGTTACCCCAATACTCGTCGGGCATGTCAGAGCCGCCACAAAAGATGACAGTAGGGGTATAGTTATTGGCGGGAGTGAGGGGTAGCATGGCAACGGCGCCAGAAGCCGGGTAAACACGAGCGACACCGCCTGGCATGTTGGGAAGGGGTGTTTCAACGTTGGTATCAGGATTCCAGAGGACTGATCGGAATCGTAAGAAAGAGAAAGATGGACAAGAGCATAAAAATAAGACATACCAGTGGAGATATTGGCCTGGATGAGCATGTTACCAGAAGGCAGGAGGTAAGTATGCGCGTAGGAATTAAGACCGGAAGTAGTGATCATGAAGTTCATGACAGTTGCAGGTCCCTTTGAAGGGAAGAACTCATACGTTGGTTCAGCTGCACCGCCTTCGTATTCTGGGTCCGTGTTGGGGTAATTCCGGTTGATGTAACCACCACTGACGAAACCGCCGATCAATGCAATACTACCATCACCAAGAGCCTCAGCGGCAGAGTACCACCGTAATTTCTGCATAGACAGAGCTGTGGCGTTATCGAACCATTGGCATTGAGAACTCGACATGTCATCGGCACTTGTGCAAGGATTGAGGATACGAATAGACTTTCTTCCGTCATAATCTCCATAGGTCGAATCATATGCACCTGCATTAACATTACCAGTGGAACCAAGAGGGCCAATTGCACTGTTGCCGCCAAATGTCGCGTACGAGCCATTTGGTAGGTGCATACCAGAAGCGCAGAAGGTATTGGTCAAAACTTCCATCACCTGGGCTGAGTGAGTATTGACATCCCTGGGCGCAAAGTTAAGCGGGCTATTAATATGCAGCGAATGCGGGAGCACGTACCATGCAGCGCCCCAAGCAGGGTGGCCATCTATTTGAGCAGCATTGCCCTCCGTTTTGTCGAGAATGTAGACCTTTTCCTCGTTGCCAAGGAACATCTTCGGAGCGAGCACTCAGCACAGAAGAAAAACAAGGCAAACAATTGCGTACCATCATAGCGCTAACTTGTGTGTTGCCGACCTGAGCGAAGGAACCTGCCTGCTGGGCAGCTGCCAGCTTGGAAGACGCTGCAAGCCCGAGGGCCAGCCAAGCAGCGGGTGTGAACATGATTGGGTGGTCGTACTACAAGATTAAATGATTTGAAAGACAGAATATGGAAGATACGACCGAAAGGAGGACTGTCCAGCAAGCGAAAAAGAGTGTGAGGTGAGGTGAAGTGACCCTTAGAAGGGGCTCAAAATTTGGCTTAAGTTACAAATAACGTTGCTCTTTTTTTTCGTGGCCTCCTGCTTCGGCCCTCGGACACCGGCCATCACTTCAATTTCCGCTCCTACTTGTGTTCTTTTTGAAGTTCTCGATCATTGTCAATCCGTTTATAAATCCTTCGAGGTCGAGCCCATGGCTAGTACAAAACCCATCCCTAGCCATTCGAGCGATGTCTAATAGCCTGCAATGTCTCCCGGGGTCCTTCAGTATCACTTGTCTAAGACAACGTCTAGGCCAAAGTCTAGTTCAAAGGATATCACATCGGCAGCCAGCGGCACGCCCACCGGAGTTTAAACCTCGCTAGCCAAGTTTATATCGGTCGACTCAGGCCGCGGCCCACCATTATTAGAATACTGGATGTCTCCGCCCCAACTCTGCTCACTGTCCGCTCATCAGCCTTGCCTGCCCAGCACCTTTGTCCCTCGTTGCTCATCGATGCATCTTCTTTCGTGTCCGCCAGCCCTCTGTCCTTTGCAGCCCGCCTAGTCGCGATGTCCTTGTTGCAATAATTGATTTGAAACAAGCGTGTCTGTCATGACAGGTTGCGGAGATTCCCAGTGCTTCCAAAGCAGTCAAGTCTTTTTTAGTGACTTTGTGTACACTGGGATGTTATTGATTTGGGCATGGATTACTCAAAATTTTCACTACATTTCAACAAACCAATATTCAACTTTTGTTTTGCTTGCTTATTACCAATAGATAAAGTATACCTGTGTCACCATTAATAAATACTATCGTTGGGCCAGAGTTGCAAAATCTGAGAACCTCATTTTCATGTAATTACATGGAACTATAGCTACATATGTCATAAGAAAGCTCTAGTTGATAGAAGAAAAAAAGGTATTTAAAAGATGCTGCCAGAGGGATGCTGATGCAAGATGTTAGAAACAATAAAATTTGGGTTGACATAGATGTCACATTGTGTCACAGCATTGATTTTGTAAATCTGAACCTGGCAAACATGTGACTTTGCGTGACTTTTCTGTGACTGCACGAAATGTGGTGTGCACGAGCAAGTGGTAACCAATAGTAGTGAACTGGTCAATTAAAAATCGCTAGTCACACCTCCACCAGTGGCCGCTGGGCCCATCGGGAGACGCTTAGAGCCAGTTGCCTTGCAAAATGCTATGGTAGCACAAGTAACAATCTATCACGATGGAGGGTGCCGCTACACACCATGACTCGACGTTGTTGGGCGACCTAATACTTCAGACCCCATCACTGCCAACGTAGACACCAGCCTTTACGGTTTGTCTTCCGAAGAAGCTATGTTCTTTAAAGCGCAAATTGGTATCGATGATGACGAAGACTTGAAGAGGCATATCCTGAAGGTGTACTAGGCGAAAGCATACCATGTGAGTCACTTGCAGACTCGACCTCACCATCAGTTCAATAACTCACTGCCGCTAAACAGTTGCACCGTATCCTTGTATCCACGGATTCATCTTTCTTCGGTACCTGACCTGCAGTCTATGTATCCGAGTCAATCCATCATCATAATGAGGGAACTGTGTTCAGCCTCAACATTTCGACTTACCCTGTGTATGAACACATCCTAAAGCTTGGCGGTGAGCCCTCCGATGCCGTGTTCCTCGACCTTGGCTATTGTTGTACGTCAAATTATGATTTACTTTATTGGATACTAAAGCTCGACTCCATTTCCGTCGGTGTTGATGCCAGAAAGGCTGCGGCGGATGGTTTTCCTGCGGAAAATGTCATTGTTTCGAATATCATCAACAATGATTCCATTTGTCTTTGAAACATTCTTGCTAATGACTCAGGTGCATGCATATACAGAATTCCTCGAGCTTGGCCACGAACTTTTCAGAGCGACATCAAATTCGTATCCGGGGTGTTTCTTTCCTGGAGATGTTTTCGATCCAGAATTTCTTTCCATAGCGGCGCAGCGGCCAGCCGAGCAACATCTCTTCATCCCCAACTATCGATTTGTCCTCACTGAAATCCCTCAATCCCCTTCATGGCCACATTGGCGCAATCAATGCTACCAGGCCTTTCCATCTCTTCACTGAGGACAAACAATTGCATCTCGCCGGGGCTCTTGCGGGCCTGTTATCTGCGCAACCAGGTTCCGTTATCTGCGGTTATCAGGGCTCTCCAGCCGTTTACTCATCGAACCCGTCTATCTCGAAACATGTCACTCCACTCCGACAGGCGTCCAAGTCTCGGCAAGGAGGTATGTTGGCGTTGTTGTACCTTCGTCACCTCATCGTACTCGTCGGGGCATGTTATCTTGCAGTTCATAGCAGTCACGTGTACTGATTCGTACCTAGGCTCTATGCTAGTCTACATAGTCTTGTCCGACTGAGTGTAACTCGTCTGACTTGACAAGTTTCCATACATATGAATTTTCTCCAAGAACCATCACGGTCGTCTAAATCGATCGAGCGCCGATGGTTTGCGCGCCTCCATCGAACCATTCTCGATAGCCTTTGCCACGCGCTTTTCCTCCCGCTGCTTCTCTAATTTTGCACGAATAGCGACCTATATTTGTAGAGCGCACGAACATGAGCACAAAATTAATGAATGGAGCGATTGACTGAGGCTTACCGCAGTGGGATCGATGACATTTTTGCGTTGCTTCCGGAGGTATCTGAGTTTTGAATATGATAAATGATAGGCTGCAGTGTCTTATACGGAGTACATACCTTTTGACACTCTTTCCCTTGCCGCGCATTTTCCGTTTCTCCTTCTCCATTCGTGACTGTGGTTTGGCATTCTTGTCGGCGTCACCGTCAGCAATGTCCTCGTCGTCATCATCAACGAGCTCCGTTTCATCTGCTTTGCCCTGGACACGGAGTCGCTCAAGCCGAGGAAGCCGAGCGAAGGGAATATCATGCGTATCATTGACAGCAGTCGTTAACTTTGTTGGCGGCGCAAGAGCTCCGACGAAATCTGGGTCGAGTGTGATCATGTCCGGTTGAATCTAGATTAATGGATAGTCCATATCAGTGTCACAGGAATGATCTAGACGTTAAGTATACCTTGTCCAATAGACCCTTGACTTCCCTTTCCCTTCTTGCCTTCTTGTTCTCGAATGGATCGGCTTCCATACTATCGAAGTTTGGTTCGCCAACTCCAGGTACAAGAATACTCGACAGACCAGCATTGTGTCCGATCGTAAGGATATCTTGAAAAGGGCAAAACCTCACCGAAGTAAGCGGTCGGTGTGGTATTGGGTGTGTGAGGTAAAGAGGTGGCGGTGCTTTAGGTGCATGCGGGGTCTGTATTGACGGTTTTGTGTATACCTGGCGCGCAATGGATCAGAACCAGCACAGGCAAGAGTGCAGTAACTCACATTGACACTTCCACCTACAGCGACACTTAACGCACCCCTTGCACTCCATTCCAGCTCGGCGCCGCCACCTCTTGTCGTCCATTCCCGCACAGTGCCCTTCCAATTTCGGCAGTCCCAGACCTTTACGACGCCATCCTGACCTGATGTTGCCATATAGCGCCCACCAGAACTTGGATCAACGCTCAGCCCCACAACTGGACCGTAATGTGCTAGGATTTGTACAGCAGGATGGGGAATATTTGGCGTCCAGAGGGTGACAACGCCATTGGAGTGACCGAGATGTAGCACCGCATTGTGTTTATTTTGTGCGAGTGTATGACATGCTCCGAGCTTGGTTCGATGCTCAGCAACGATGTGACCTGTGGAAGTGTCTTGATATTTTAGAAATCCGTTGTTCCCCTAATATCGATTGAGTTGGCACAAGTTGACAGTGAGTTGGAACAACTGACCACACTAGCAAGCAACCAGTGATATGGAAGAAATTCCAGTCGTGTGGGTTCAATGTGAGCTTTCAATCGGTGTAGTTCAACACCATCACGGTCGTATATGAATACATATTTTTTTTGTGCGACCGCGAAGAATGACTGGTCCTGCAAAAATCTTTATTGAACGATTGAGAGTTGTTACGTGCAAGTAACAAGGGACGTACGTGATATCGCGACATGTTTCCTGCAGCTGAAGCTCAGCATGCATGGTTCCCGTTTGCCAGTCAAAGGTCGCGACATGTCCCATGTTGCCGACAATGGCAAGATGTCTGCCATTCCTCGAGTATCTTGAGCGATATGGACCACCATCCAACTTGAGCTCCCGTCGTCCCTTGGCAGCCTCCTGACTAGCACTTTGCACGATATCATCCTGGCCTATTCTCCAAGTTCGTTCCAGCTCAGTCTCCACCTGCATCTTCCCTGCTTCGTTCGTCAGCAACAGTTCAGCATCTTCGACAAGTGCTTTTGAACGCGCAGCATGTGCTGCCTGCCGGTTTAGTTTTGTTCTTAGCTTGAGGTCCTTGACGTGCTTATGCTTTGGCACATTGTCTGGTGGTGGAGAGGTAGGGCGAAGGGATTTTGGTAGGGTAGTATTTTGTGCCTTGACAAACAAGGAATCTACAGAAGACGCCATTCGTACGCCCTCGCCCGGTGACCGATTGATCACTAGTACTGCTAGAAAGTGATTGGATAAAACTGCAGAAACTCAGCTGACTAAGCTGAACGACCAAACCGAGTTCTTCAAATCCAAGTTCATCGAAACCTTTGCAAACCCTTACGCATCGCCGCTCCAAAGCGAAACCCTGCACTGCTGAAGCATATTTAATGTAGGGCATTATGACGATTTTATTGTCGGTTTAATGTTGAATCTACAGGCCGCCCAAGGGTACAACCAGGAAGAAGGCTGCGAACGATGGTTCCACCACTCATACGCCTGTTCGTGCCATTTTATCGCTCGATTCGGTCGCTCAATACAGAGTATTAGACTCTTTCCGAGCAGCTGTCATACCTGCACAGCCCTCGTCCATTCAAGAATCCCAACTACACCAAAAATACGAATCGTCGAACCAAGAACCTGAAAACCGTTCTAGGTCAGGAAAGAGAGAAAGAGCGCGTCGAAAGGGAGAGGCGGAGACAAGAGAGAGATAGTCAGGCGATGGATATTGACGAAGTTAAGAAAGAGCTTGTTGAGGTGAACGAGGAAATCTCAACTTGTGAGTTGATCACGGGTTTTCCAGTCGGCGAAACTGATTCTTTTAGATCTATCGATAGAAGCACCACCATCTGTTCTGCCACAGAGACACTACTGCGATATCACAGGGCTGGAGGTTAGTGTTCATCTATCCTGCGAGGAAGGATATCCTGTCGATATCGAATCACTAGGCACCGTATACCGATCCTCGGACTGGACTGAGGTATCATGACAAGAGCGTTTATGAACTTATTAAGAACCTTGTAAGAAGTTACTTTCTCCCGTTCAAACTTGATTCAAATCGTTTCGCAGAGCCCGAGCGCGGCGAAGGACTATTTGGCTGCAAGGGGCGTAAATCCCGTCGTCCGATAGATAGCCCATCGTTTTTGATTGATATCCCTTCAAATGGATTCATCATCATTCCCACTGTGGCACCGACTGCTATGCAATAGTGGCTCTAGAAAATCGCATGCCCAGGTTCATATGGCTATCTTGGACGCACAATTGTTTGCTTGGCTTGCATTGCGGCTGCATGGGATATATTAGAGAGTGGATGTGTGACAATGTAGACTTTTCTCTGAATGAATGACATGTCATTCCTCGGTAAATAAATTCTAATCATGGAGAGATTGTTTATGATTGTTCCGTAGTTGAACGCGCCTCATGAGGACCATCAATAGGTTGATTACCACACACAGGAGATTTAAGCAAGGCTGGATGGCCGAGTGGTCTAAGGCGCTAGAATCAGGATCTAGTCCGAAAGGGCGCGTGTTCGAATCACGCTCCAGTCAAGAAACTTTCTTTTTCCTTTTTTTTGGCTCCAGGAAGAGACATGTACTTACTGCCTGACTTGCAGGTACTGAGTAACACTAAATATGATACGGAGCACTCAGCCGTGGCTGGGGATAGTATGAGCATGAGGATGACATTTTTAAAGTTACATATGAAATGGCCGCGGAGTTTGGCAAGCGTATGTAAGCTACTACCCTGTTCGGCATTTGTTGTCACGGTAGACAGTTTGTGTGAATTGGCTCCCCATGTCATTGCATGATACACGCACTGCATTGATCATGACAGTCTTAGTGATAAGATTCAGAAGTGCGATTTATTAACAACTGCTAGTATAAATGAGGTAAGGCCCTGAGTTCTTTTCTGAACCCATTTGCTCGCATGTCGACCAGTGAAGTTCTCCCCCAAGGCGCAGGCTATGGCGTCGGTGAGTTGGTTTCTGATTCGCATGTTTCAAACACTGATATCCAATAATGTTACCAGTCATCGGTAAAACACACTTCAATCCATTTGTTGTCATTTGCTAAAGATATCCAGGGATTGGACTGTTCTTCAGTGCTTTCATGGTGGGTTTGACTGCTCTACAGGCACGCTACACGGGTGTCTCTCCCAAAGATTCCGAGGAATTTTCGTCTGCTTCGCGTTCAGTGAAGCCTGGGCTCATTGCCTCTGGGATTGTCTCTGCTTGGACCTGGGCAGCAACGCTAGTATGTTTATGTTCAACATACATATTCACGTGTGGCTTAGCGCGCAATATTACTTAGCTCCAGTCTAGCGCTGTCGCTTATAGATATGGCATTTCGGGACCATGGTGGTATGCCGCAGGTGCGACAGTGCAGGTCCTCTTGTTCGCCCAGCTTGCCGCAAAGCTAAAGCTTAATGCACCCTACGCACACACCTGGCTTGAGATTGTTGCAGCGCGGTGGGGAACTACAGCGCATCTTATTTTTATGGTTTTCGGTCTTGCGACAAACTTGATTGTGTCTTCAATGCTTGTCTTGGGTGGTTCGGCTACTGTGACGAGTCTGACTGGGATGAGCACCATTGCTGCGTGTTTCCTCATCCCGCTGGGTGTTGCCATTTATGTCGTCGTTGGTGGAATGCGTTCCACACTGCTTTGCGATTAGTAGGTCGACATTCTACATGCCATGTTCCCTAACTCATCATTTTATTTTCAGTACACATACCACAGTCCTCTTCGCCATCATCTTGACGTTTGTGTTCACCGTATATGCAACCTCGGACTACATTGGCTCTATCAGTCGCATGCACTATTTATTGAGTGAGGTATCCCAGATCTCACCCGTGGTCGGTAATGCTGGTGGCTCGTACCTCACTCTCCGCTCCCAAAATGGCCTTATCTTCGGCGTTATCAACCTCATTGGGAACTTCGCAACTGTCTTCCAGGATCAGGCGTATTGGCAGCGCGCTATTGCCAGCAGACCTTCTACAACTGTCAAGGCGTACCTTATTGGTGGCTTGGCATGGTGAGTTGACGTGTCTTTACCAGCATGTGCCGGCATTTCTGATTCAAGCGTAGGTTTGCTATTCCGTTTGCGTTCTCAACGACACTTGGCCTTGCTGCAGTGGCTTTTTCTGCGGTGCCTGCTGCCAACTCTTTGTCCCAAGACCCATTATCAAGCAGCCTTATTCCCATGCTTGCGCCACTCTCGCAAGATGCTATCTCAGAGGGTCTTCCAGCTTCGCTAGCTGCTGCGACGTTGCTTGGGAAATCGGGCGCAGCTGCACTTCTCGTCGTCCTGTTCCTGGCCGTGACCAGTGCCACGAGTGCGGAGCTCATCGCGGTCTCTTCTATTTTAACTTACGATGTCTATGTGGTATGTTCCTATCAAGCATTCGGCGCCAAAATTGCTTACCAATGATTATATAGAGATATATCAATCCGAAGGCCACGGAACAACAAATTCTACGCATGAGTCATGCAGGGGTAAGCGTCTTTTTTTGGCAGGCCTAATCTCCTCATTGACTGTTATGGATAGGTTGTTATCTTTGCACTTGTGATGGGTATCGCCGGTGTTATTTTCTACTACATCGGAGTATCCATGGGTTGGCTTTATGTCGGTGCCTATATCCGTGCTATACATTGTGCCTGACATAGTTTGCAGACATTTATGGGAGTCATCCTCGGCTCTGCTGTCTGCCCGATTGCACTTTGCATTACCTGGAAAAAAGCTAATAAAGTGGGTTGTATTAGCGGTGCGCTCGTTGGTTTTGCCGCAGGTATTATTGCCTGGCTGGTCACCACCTCTACGCTTAACCAAAAAGTGATCAATGTCACCGTACGTCTCTTAAGTTTCTATCGTTTCACCTCTTTGACCCTATCGCGTGATCAGACGAGCGGAGGTTAGATGACCGCCAATTTCAATATTGTTGAAGCTGAATTGACCCAATGATTAATAGGCAACTACGAAATGCTTTCAGGAAACCTTGCATCGATCGGTGTTGGTGCTATTATGTCAACTGCCATTTCACTTATCGTGCGTAAACTGTTTCATCCCTTGAGATCATGAGCTAATTGATCCTGAAGTGGCCAGATGACTACGATTTTGCTTCGACTCGTGCAATCAATGGCCGTAGTGCCGCTATTAGTAGTAATGTCAACGACGAACTAGAGGAGTCAGAGGATGAGAAGAAAGTTCCAGATGTGACAGTGTCATCCGTGTCAAATGAGGCGCAAATCGATCCGGAGCTGGACCCGGTTGGCCTAAATAAGGCATTTAAGTTTGCTGCCAGGGCATCAATAGTACTTGTTCGTGCTTTAATACTTCCTTGCAACTGCTCGTATACTGAAGCTGCTTGATCTACAGACTTTGGTACTGCTGATACTCATCCCTCTCCCCCTCTTTGGTGCCCAGACGGTCTACAGCGTCACCGGCTTTTCGGTATGGGTGATAGTTGGTATTATTTGGACATTCATGTCGGCGTTCGCAGTCGTGTTATACCCCCTGTGGGAAAGCAGAGCTGCCATTCGGCTCATTTCGAGAGGAATGATCAAGGTAAGTGTGGCATTTTTATCCCAGGGCTCATCTAATGGTGCGCAGGATCTTTTTTCTCCTGGGAGTGGTAAATTCGTTGCGCCATCTTCGATAAAGGACCCCAGCGAATAAAATTTCGTGAGAGCTTTTTTGGAATTTTCTTTTATCTGTCCTTGCAGCCGTACATGATATAGGTGGACAATACATAAAGTATATGTAGTGCTATAGGCAAGTCACTCGTTCGTTCTATAATACGGATGAGAATAAGGCTCTACAAGTTTTTGATCCAGACGTTACGTGTGCTAGTTGTCGCGTTCTCTTGATTGTCCATGCCAACTAAGCCAAGAGCATAGATGCTTGTATAACGAGCCAACCGAATATTATAGTCATGAGGTAACAATGAAAAAACCCTATATGATCTACCTCGCTCGTCGTTTATTCAATGCACGAAAGTATTTGAACATAACTCTGGGTAAATTTCCCGTGCACGAGTACATCATCCCAAACTCAGGTCGTCGGCGCCGCGCTGCTCCAAGAGCTGGAGAAGATCTAAAAGCTTCGAGATGCTGGTTGGCCTCGGGCCACCCGTTCTTATGCCTCTCCCACCCCACCGGTGACCTAGTCCATACAAGGATGGATGGAGAAAATAGACATGCCCACGCGTAACATCCGCAGGGAGTATGTTGAAGAGACTCAGCTGCAGGACCGATATCGATACACGTACTAGTATCGATCATTACTTACAGGGTAAGCAAATGATGACAGAAACGAAGCACTGCGAATAGTCTACAGTAGGTAGACGAAGGTGACTCAAAAACATCAGAAAGCGGACGTGCGGCCAACTTGACATGGCTTCCACAAGAAGGTCGTCGTCGAGGTAAATGGGGTAACGAATGTGAATCCAAAGGGTTCTCACAGCTGCGTGGAACAAAGAAACTGCCTGATCACTGTCATAAGACATACCCAATTCCCCATCAGACCACGACCGCTCGTTGGAGTTGATTTTGATGTCCGGCGTCCATTACACTGTGACAGTGCACAAAAAATGATGCTCGGCCTCCGCCCTGGTCCAACCGAGGACATGCCGCGGCATTTCGAACCCCTGTAGTGAGTGGAATTCCGAGTGTCGTATCACTGTGGTAATGTCCATTGTCCACGGCAGTTTCGAAAGTCAAAGAAAGACCCGTGAGCTTGAGGAAAGGCTCGCACTTGAAGCGTGATGATTCAACCGGGAAACCGTCCCACAATAGCGAGTCAGAGAAGGGTAGGGGTGTCGGAGAGGTGCTTCCATACTGCTCAGTCGAGTAATGCACTGCACGACAGATTTACAAGCTGCTTGCACAAACGGACGATGTCAGACACCAGGGATAGCTCATCTGGTGTGTCGTCATAAGACCTACTGATGAATAAGTCCTCCAAGGCAGCACAATGGGCTACAGCAGAATTGATGTCCGAAGACAGGGTTGATATTGACAAACGGCGCAGCGTAGGGAAAGAGAGGAAGTGCACGTGTCTGGTATCTGGGATTGAGTACAATCGCGGCGGCATGTCTCGGCAACTAGTCGCAACTTCAAATCTGCCGCGAACAGATGTGCTCCGTGAGTCCGTATCTTTCGTACTATGTTTGGTGCGTGCCTACAAACACTGATATTATTGGTTCATCGTGCTCAGTGTCGTGTGGGTCATGAGCCACCTTCCCCAAAATGGCCCCTGGTTCTTGCCCTGGACTGTCGACACTGTAACCATTAACAGCAGCGCTTTTGCTGCCTTTACTGAACTGGCATAATCGGCGACCACCTTATTTCAGCAAGCAAGCCTCAACTTTCAAGGAGCCCGCCACCACAGCGAAATTGGTCCTGCCAGGTCATCCAGTCACCTACAGCATTGACACTAAGATTCTGATTTTATCTCCTCGCCCCCAACTGTCTATTCGGTCCGTCGTTCGAGCTGTGATTCGCTGTTCACAATTTTGCAAAGCACAGCGGCCATTTGGTGCTTATAACGACAACATATCCAACAACCGTTCAAAGCTCACATCTTTGCTTCATCATGTCTCATGCGCATATTCTACGACCCCTTCCACAATTTATTTGATACTCTATCACTGTCGAGTTGGAGGGCAATACTAAAAGCCTTGAGTCATCGCCGTTGTTTCTAGTGTGCCACAAGGAAGCACATTATAGCTTTCATGTGTCTGGCATTCGATCTGCGCCAACACATGGATGGACCTACACGGGAGCTTTGAAACTGAGACAGTGACCACAACAGTCGAGCCTCCCGTTCTCGAACAACAAGATATCAACGTCGAAGCCCATGGGAAACGCTTAGCAATATTTGGGGATTTCAAACGTTCGGAGAACCATGACGAGGCGCAGATATACGGTGCAGGCATGCTCGTATGGCCGGTTCTCTACTAGACACGGCGATTGCATCGTCCAGAGCTGAGGATGTCCACGCGAAGATGGAGAATTGCTGATGTGCAACTATCAACAATGAGAATACGGTGCGACTTTCGTAACCTGCCCATGAAATTACTGAGCATGATGCAGGTCCGACAATGACGTTCTTTGCTCATATAATGGATCTCGCTTTCAACTCGCAAGCTTTACCGGCTACGACTGGAATTAGGAGTGAAAAATATCACTGAAATAAGTGGCCATCGACACAAGTCTATACAATCAGGAATTGGGCTTCTTGCGTGTTACAGGCTTCTTTCACGATATGGATGGTGTCTTATATTTAATGGATATCAACCACACAGCATGAGTCAATATATTCCGGAGTGGTGTACTTATTACTGGCTGCAATCATTGGACGGACTTGAGTATGCTCTTGATCAAGGGGAGGGAGGTGCCAGACTACAGGCTGATTCCAGCGAGCGCAATTGATACTAGACCACGTACTATAAAATTATTCTTACAAGATGAAGTAATATATGGGTAGACATGTACGGTACAATAATGCGATGTGGTACCCCAATTACCGGGTTTCATCTTCGCAAGCTTAATTGTTAACATTCTGCTTGATGAGTGCGACGGCTTTCGCAGAGCGAGGCTTGGTAGAACATTTGAAGGGCTTCGGATGGCCAGAATTGTGACTATCTAGACCAGCGCCGGACGTGATAAGATGTGGCATATATGATCGTGCCTGATGAGGAATCGACCTCAACATCGTTCTCGACGCCTTTAAAAATATCGAATACGGCCAGTGGAGGAAGACAAACCTTTTCCCATAGATTTGTCGGTCTAGACGGTGTTTGGAACATTGCATCTTGGGTCTGGTTTGCGTACATCTGAGACTGCATTGGTGGTAGAAAGTCTTGACAACTTCAGGCTCGTCATCGTCCTGTAGCGCGATTTGAGCTGGAGGTAGAGGTGTATGGACCTTGAACAGTTTCGTTTCTGGAAGTGGAGTTGCAAATATAGCAGTAGAAGCCGAACTTGAAGCTTTCGACGGCGTAAACGACCTACCAGAGCCTGCACAGGTTGCCTGATTGATGAATCCGTAAGGTGATACTCGGCCGCGCTCTAGGTTGTGCAGGTGGAGCAAAACAGCTTCAGTAGTCCACCCCCATCGTCCTTAACCTCTCTGTTGAGCCACTTGATTTACCCATGCAAGTCTCTGTCCCATGACGGTGATCATGAAGTCTAAGTGCGGTGATTATGGTTACGAAATCTGGTTTTATCCGCAGCGATCCTGGCTTAGGGATTATTGAGTTCACTAGAGCGTTGAATTTCAACAAAGAGAACAGAAATTAATGGCAAGAGCGATCATGAAAGTCATGAAGAGACTTGCCCTCGCAAAGGAGACAGGGATCTTTGAATGCTCTGGGAGTCCATACATTAGATGAGTTAAATAGTGAGAACCCCGGACAAGCATCGTGTACACCCCGTAGTAGTCATTTCGAAAAGTTGTATCAGCCGGAATCCGAGTACAAGCATCGAGCTCCATTTAGTCCAACATGGTCGATGGAAAGATGCTATCAGTTGTTGTTCAATTGCGCGAAAAATGACACCAATCAGACAAGGCGAACAAAGTTGAGTCGGAGCAAGGATTCCTTCGGCTCTCTTCTGATCTTGGACTTCTTCACAAAGTCCGAATCGCATACTATGTAGGACTGGCAGGGTCATTCGAAAGCGTCGCGCAAGGATAGGGCATGTCCGAATGACCTAGACCACTGAGTACTGTCCGGAGTCGGACTCTAGACTTCACCCAAGTTGGGAAACTGTGCTGAATTCGTCGACTGGGAGCATTGAAGGAATTAATACAAATGGTGGGAAGCTTCCTATAGAAGAAGTCTGTGCACTCGTTCAACCACTTACATAAGCTCTACATACGGTTCGAACCTCACGCACAGGATCTACGATAAGTAAAACAGAGAGTTGGCCATTCAAATTGCAAATTGCTTGCCGATCGCGAAGTTCAAGAATCGTCGACATTGGGAAACTTTGTCGGTTAAGACAGAGTCACAGAACTTCCTGCCTTTGTATAAATTCGATTGGTAGATCTAGAATCGATTTTGGGCTAGGGTTGTGCTGTGCACAGCTAGCAGCCTCATGGCTTCCTGATGGTTAATTCGGTTAAGTACATCAACCACCTTCCTGCCCGCCTTCCTTCGCTCTCCTACATCTCCTCTCACCTATCCTCTAGTTTCTCCTAGCTGAATCTTGAACGCAAAAAGCCCTATTCTCTGATCTTGCCATCTAATCGAGATGCCCTTTCCATTCAAGTTGTTCCAGGGTTTCGAAAACATTATTGCAATTCGTTCGAAGCGCCCTGAAAACCAAGGAAGCGCACAACGCAACTCGACAACCGCCGGCCATGAGGGCGATCCTTCTATCCCTACAGGCCTCTCCAATTCCGTTCCTGCACCAATGCACTCTTCGAATTCTGCGTCAGTGCATCCTGTTTCTGCAGACAGTAAACCAGGTCTCGAAAATAATTTCCTTAGCTCTCTTTCCGCAGTGTACCCTTGGGGTGCATCCCCTGCCCACGAAGCTTTCGACATTGCTCAGGTAGCTTTGCCTTTGGTACAGGCTTTTACGGGTGTAATTCCACTTGTCGGTGCTCCGATGAACGCGGCTATTAGCGGGTTGTTGGGAATTCTTCAAGCTATAAAGGTGAGCGCTTATTGAATGATCAGAATGTTTCTAGGTTTCATGGGCTATCACAGAGATGCGATGAGAATAAGGCGGCCTTAGACGACTTGACATCGCGACTCCATCGACTATGCTGCCATTTGTGCAACGCCCCACCTGCTCTGAATCCTCTTGAACGTTCTCGGAGAGACATTTTAGCTAGGTAAATCCCTTATGAATGTGTACTTGACTTTACCCGACACTGAGCCGTACACAGAAAGTTGGAAGACACCTCTTTCCGCCTGAAAAAGTTGCCAAAACGTCGTCTCGTGTACACGTCTGTCACACAAGCTATCATCGGATGCTCAGCTGACATCAACAATTATCTGATGGAGTCTTTAGTTGCGTTCTACCCCTTAGAGATGCTTGCATTTGCTCACTACTCTGTGGTCAGTGGTCGTCTCAAATGCAAAGTCAACGCGAAACACACGAACTGCTTATAATTGCACGGAGGCGGGATGAGGGTCTTCAGAACATCGAACAGTCCTTCGCAGCACTATCTGTATCGCCTTTACCTGGAAGCGTCGCGTCTGGCTGCGTGACGCTGGTAGACGCAACAGGCCGCCACCAAGCAATATCAGTGAACTTGTGCACCTCATATCAGGTCCGCTCGCTGGCCTAAAAATCGTTCTTGTGGAAGCTTACTCGTCAAATTGCCTTTAGCAACTCAATTCCATGCTCCGAGTCCTTTTTGAACGCGATGCGGTCGAAGCCCAAATTCAAAGGCGATATATAGAAGAAGGAAAGTACGATTTGTGCATCGACGAGGGCAAGCAAGTGACCGCACTTACAAGCCACAATTGGTCGAGCATTGAACCAGGCACGAAGATTGTGATGAGGGTTACCATTCAACAGAAGACGTCATCACTATCTGGAGTCGACTATCGATGTCATTTTTGCGGCGCTGTGAATCGCCTTGGTGCTAGATCTGTGAAATATGAGTCTCGAGGGCGGACTGTTTGCTCGACTGAATGGTGAGCATGTTTGTGTTTCTAGGTCTTGATGGTGCCTAACTATGAGAAAGTCAAGAATGCAAACGATGCTTCCAGATCACCCGTGGTTTTGCGGACCCGAGAAAACTACTCTCTAACAGTGACTCCAGCCACAAGACTGACGCAGAAACGCTTCTTGTTCGCAACTTTCATGTTCAGCAAATTGTATGTCATCCTGGTACTTCGCTAGCAATCTTGAGCTGAGATCACGATGTACCTCCCGCTCTCAGAGAGTGCGTGATCTGGTCTTTCTACCTTCTTAGGCGACGCTGATGGTGCCACGGCCATGTCCCGCTCTCAGTTGGTGCGTGATCTGGTCTTTCTACCTTCTTAGGCGACGCTGACGGTGCCACGGCCATGTCCCGCTCTCAGTTGGTGCGTGATCTGGTCTTTCTACCTTCTTAGGCGACGCTGACGGTGCCACGGCCATGTCCCGCTCTCAGTTGGTGCGTGATCTGGTCTTTCTACCTTCTTAGGCGATGCTGACGGTGCCACGGCCATGTCCCGCTCTCAGTCTGTGCGTGATCTGGTCTTTCTACCTTCTTAGGCCACGCTGACGGTGCCACGGCCATGTCCCGCTCTCAGTTGGTGCGTGATCTGGTCTTTCTACCTTCTTAGGCGACGCTGACGGTGCCACGGCCATGTCCCGCTCTCAGGATGTGCGTGATCTGGTCTTTCTACCTTCTTAGGCGACGCTGATGGTGCCACGGCCATGTCCCGCTCTCAGGAAGTGCGTGATTTCCTCTGCTGGGCTTGTTACCGCTCGTTGACCCTCACACGACCAGGAAGACTTTTTACGATATGTTCGTGAGACCCCGGCCAAGTCCCACGGACTAGGTCATGTCGCGCCCTCACATGGTATGTGATCTTGTCTTTTGTGATACATAATGGATACTAACTCTTTCATTACACTAATAGACAGTGCGTGCCTCTATGTTAAGCAATTTCAGAGCATGTCTTTGTACTGATTGCATGTAGCATACAGCGGTATCGAGGAGATTGAGTAGGACAGTGTTCAAGATGAGGAGGGGGATGGAATGGAAACTGGCTCAGATGAAGAGCCTTGGTAGCTGCAGAGGATGTGGACAGACATGGTTTCCGAAATTGGTCTTGTCCATGGCATGTAGAGAAAATGATCTTCTATGTACGGCCTGTCTAAACTGCTCATGTGTATCTATCTCCTGCATATCTAACTGTGACACAACGGAAATCCAAACGATATTGCCTGCAGTGCTTGATCATTTGCAGCCTGTGTCGTGTCCCGTGCAACGTACCGCCACCAATTAACTGATACACACCCCCTCTTGAGCCGCACGTTACGACAATGAGTCATGCCTCTCCTTATGCTTTGGTATCATGGTTGATGGTGCAATACCTAGCAATCAGTATAGTTGTGTTTGGACAAATTTTCGTCCTGCTCCATCCATGTAGAATGTTTGAACTTATCTAAAAATGATCGATTGTGCCTAGTCTTGCTCATGGTCCAATCAGCTTGAGTTCGAGAGCCTGTCGAAAGGAATCGTTGCTGTCGATAAGTGATGTACGAACATGGAACGTACCAAGCAGCTTGAATCTGTTCGTCTAACGTTGGCCTCGAAGGCTAATTCGTGGATCACTCTGATGGAGCCAAAAAGATGTCACTTCGTTGCTGATCGTGATTAATGACAGACGTGTTATTTTCTGGTATATAGTCGAAGCTCAAGGTCATACGGGAGCGCGCATTTTGATGAAAATGAAAAAAAGGCTGCGACAAAGGTAAAGATGAAGAGGATTAATATCAATGCTTGCGCGATACTTGATATGAAAGGGTAGCGTAGGAGCTCTGGAGTGGGTTCTCGTCATAGAGCGAGTGTTGGATGGGGTACAAGGGACGGTTGACGAGGAAGAGGGACTTGGAAGAGCGTTGGTTAATGGTCATCAACGACATTCCTTGTCTCCGAGAAAGTAGGGAATCATCGGGGTATGCCATACGCTAACTTGATATCGTTGTGATTTTCTAAAACTTCACAGGAAGTTGTGGATGCTGGACCGTGACAAGTACCAGGGATCTTTGACCAAGCGCATGTCAAGAATGAGTATGAGTATCGATGTATGAAAGATACCTCATTATGTCTGCGCACTGGCAGTAGTTGCAGGGTCACCGGCCTAGGCGACTCGCAGGTGCTACAAGGAAGTAACGAATGAGAAAGACATGCCATGAGATATCAAAGTAATATCAGTGGTACAGGATCAGTCAGAAGCGCCGCGCAGTGAGATCTGACCGGTGGCACATAGTAGGCACGTCATGTTTCGCTAACAGATGCAGTGAGTATCGAGCAAACATCTCATTCCCATTCAATTGATACACTCGTTTGTAGGGGTGAGTGAGATTCTAAACATTGAAATTGGCTCAACATAATGATTACAGGTAAAACGAACAAGAGAGGAAGCGATTACGACTGGGATGGATGAAGAGGTATGTGTCGCCTTGTTGTGTACTTGAGTATTCCCCTGCGTGTGTAGATAGTGTTTCGATGACCCGGACAAACATTGAACCAATCGACCATCTGTTGCGCGGAGCGATCCGGTATCGACCACCCTGGTGTCTCCATTGGATTGTGAGGAAGCAGGCATGTCCGACTAGAATCTACCTTGCAAAAGAAATGGAAGGACGCCACCGTGGTGCTTGTTTGGCCTTGTTAAATTCAACCCATTTTGGGCCCTCTTGAGCCTCCCAAATCGAAACGGTGGCCCGTGCACTCGTGTGCTTTTATATAAAAGGGCTGGGTGAACGAGTTGAATCCTTACCACTCTGGCCTTTTGGCTTAGATCAAGTGTAGTATCTGTTCTTAATAGTTTAACCACTATTATGAGGGCACCGCCCTCATTCTTTGGTTATCAAATTTTTGCCGCCCTTGTTTCTTCGAGCTCTGCTTGCAACTCGGAGGACATGATGACCTTGCTACTGCACTACTGGCCTGCGTCGTCGGGGGTTTCCCTTTTGGATTTCGGTTTCTCTTTGTTTGGTAACTACTCCATAGTCTCTTGGCTATGTATGGTGCCCGGCAAACAGAATTCGTACTTCACGCGCACGGAAATGTTATCACCAGACCAGGGGGCATGAATGCTGCTCGGATTGGACGACATTCAAAATGGATATATGTCTCGCGGTATGAATCGCATCTCTGTTTTTTTGGCCACGTCCCAGGTGCTTCCATACCACCCGGATTCGGCATGACTGTGCATTGATAGTTCCCAGTTGAACTAGTATTGTGCGCCCCGTTTGCACCTGCAACTTGATCAAGTCCGCATCCACTGTGATATGCAAGTTCAACGCTGTTTGCGTCGGTCCTTGACTGTTCACACCAGATAAATTACCCTCGAGGCCCGGCGCGCCTATAATGAGGAAGCCTGGCATGGCAGCATTTGTTTGTCATCGATGCTCTTTCCACCCTTCTACCTGATACTACCCAGGCCCCGGAGCCCATGACCTCCCATTGCAGTTACATGGTGCTCAGCCTTATGCGATGAATCATGCCTTTGTGGCGAGATCCTGTCTTCGACCTTTGAGAGATATTTCTGGGCCTCACTGGTAGTCTATAAAGGTGACTTGAATTGGAGATTCTGATATTGAGAATTTGGCCGAAGAAATTTAGTAATCAAGGTACGACGTGCTATGGAATCATCATCACTCATATCCCGCATTTTAGTGGCGACATGCTTATGAGATCACTTCATCTACATTAACAATCAGCGCTCAGCCTGGAGAATTAATAAGGTGATATGTAAGCCAAGCGGTTACCCTGGTCCTTGAAGACCTATATAAACAAGATATCACTTGCTCGTCATAGCAAGAACGCTTGCACTCCACTTTACATCAAGCACCAACAGACTAACCATGACTTCTACCGCCACCACCACCCTCAACTACTTGCTCGCTCCGCTTGACGGTTCTCAGCCTTACACTGACATCAATGCAGATACCGCCAAGGGAAAGCCGGTCAACAACTGGCTCAAGGACCCGCATGAAATGCAAATCGAGGACGTGCGCGGGAAGGAGGAACTTTACAAGCTTGACAGCGCTGGATTTCAGTATGGAAGAGAAGCGGCGAAGCATACCAGCTTCTTGAATGATGATGAGATTGAGCGCGAATACTACCCTGAGAGCATCGACCTCATCAAGAGGGTAACGGGAGCGACCAAGGTTGTCATCTTCGATCACAGTACGTTGATCACCAATTTCAAACGAGGTCTTGATCCCTAATTCACGTCACAGCTGTTCGTCGCCGCCGCCCAGGCGAGCTAGGCAATAGCCCACAGAAACGTCAACCGGTCCCGCAGGCTCATGTAGACCAGACGCCTGCGGCGTCCATTGCTCGTGTCCATAGGCATCTCCCGCCCACAGAAGCTCCTGCCTTTCTTCGCAGACGCTTCCAAATCATAAACCTCTGGCGTCCTATATCGCATGCAGCTGTAGATTGGCCACTTGCATTATGTGACTTCCGAAGCGTCGACTTCGAGAAAGATTTGACGCCTGTCGCTCTCATATACCCTGACCGCGAGGGTGAGACATTTGGAGTCAAATACAACCCCAACCACCAGTGGAAATATCTGAAAGGGATGACACCAGAAGAGTTTGTTCTTATTAAATGGTGAGCGAAGTCACTCGCGAAGATTTTTGTCATACTAAAGAGATCTTAGCTCCGACTCCGTACAAGATGGGAGTGTCGCGAGGCTCGCTGCTCATACAGCCTTCCAAGACCCGAACACCCCAGAGGGAGCGCCGCCTCGGGAATCCATCGAGCTGAGGACCCTTGTATTCTATGATTAGAGCACATTTGTTTCGAATGGCGTTAAGAACTAACAATGGGGTCGTACCGTATTTTGTTGTTCTCTATATTATGCGGAGGTGTACTTTGCCAATTTTAAATTTTGCACGATCCTCGTGGAACATGACTACCATAACAAAGATGCATGTGACCCGGAGAGTTCTGAAGTGGCGTCGAGCCAGCGGTCCGAACCGAGGACCCGATTACGCGTTGATCCGTTGGTGGACGTTGAGAGGAGTTACCAGGTTCGGCCGTCGACTCTCGAGAGTAGTTTAACTTTAAAGGGTAACCTTACACAGTTGGATCAGGATAGGGATTGCATTTGGTTGGATCTAGTGTAAAAAACCGGTTAGCGGGTGGTGAGGCGCTGCAGGCGTTGGTTTCTGAGGTCCAAGTCGAGGTGCCACTTGGTCACCCGCGGCCTGAGCCACGAAGCAACTCGCGTAATTAGGATTTACCTAAGGCCGCGTCGCTGATACGGCCTTGGGTCGCCCTAAGTCTCAGTCAATGGAGCTAACCAGAAGTTCAAATCAAGTAGAATACTTACTGAAGCTGGCCATGCAACAGCCGTGCCAAGTCCGTAGCGGGCACGACCAGCAGAAATCAGGCAGCGGACGCGAGGTCACAGAGCGAAACAGTTTGTTCTTTACTAGCAACATGCAAACAGCATAAGCGAATTTCCAGATTGCAAAGAGTGGAGCGCTACGAAGAGATGGATTCAGAAACGGTTCAAACCAGTGAGAATTTCATGCGGAAGAACTCACAGATCATTGATTATATCCCTGACACGACACGACCACATTAACTGCAGGTAGTGATACAAGGGTCGTGACTGATCACGCTCCTGCAGGTTCTACCGAAAATTGTGATTATACCATTCGACAGCAAAAACAGTTCTGCCAGATCGATCAGAAGCATGCCCATAAGTATATGCATGCAGAATATAAAAGCTGGCCGTTGTCTTACAGCTTTCCCCCATCCTCAGAGATATCATTCGCAAACCCATTTTCCCTCAGAAGATTCCATATCACCTCGCACAGAAAATGCATTTCTCCTTCCTCGCCGTTGTTACTTTGTTGACAGCGTCCATGTCTGTTAGTGCATGTGGCGAAACACCGTGCGCATCAAGTACGGATTGCTGTTCGAACTATCTTTGTATAGAACCACCTGGGGTGAGTATGAGCGGTCGCCGTGCATCCAGGATTCAGTCACATGACCCACCTGCGCGCCTTAGCAAGCAGCGCACTGCATCCACAATTAAAGTTGAGCCGGCAGTCCTAGTGGTGCATCGCGACAGTGAGTCACGCTTCTGCTTTTGCCTTGGTATCATGGTTGATGGTGCAATACCTAGTTCGGAGTCAATCAGTGCAGTTGTTTGTGGATAAATTTTCGTGCTGCTCGACCAATGTAAATGTTTGGATTTATCTGAAAATGATCAACTGTGCCTAGTCTTGCTCGTGGTTCACTAAGCTTGAGTTCGAGAGGCTGTCGATTGAATGAACGATAGTTGCCATTGATGATTAATATTGGAAGGCCGTACGAAGATGGAACGCACTGCCATCAGGGAAAACCTCCTTCACAAAATCAAGGTAATTTCAGAGAATTTTTGAATCAAGCCACAGTAGCAGTTTTCAAGGTTGATTCTCGGTCGATTTGGCAGAATTGATATCGCTGTCAGATGGTAGAAATTTCAGCAAGATTTCATCCGGAAAACTATCCTACACAAAAAGTACTTTCAGATTGCCGTGAAGATTTACAGCATACTCTGGGGTCAGATAAGCTCAGTGACTTGGACAGCAAGAAGAACTGCAGTAGAACTTACTCGTTTAGAGATCGTCGGGAAAGCGGATCGTCTCTATGAAATTTCCACGCGAGCTTGACACTAGTAAGATACCAAGGAGCCAAGTGAAGGATATTATGGCGCTATATCTGCACATTTATTATTTGCGCGTTCCGCGGCTTGCGCGCTGCGCGTTTTCGTCAATCCAGAGTGGGCGTGTTTTAATCAAGAGGTTCCGCATTCCCGCACTGCGCGTTTGCTTGTTCAAGTCTCTACTAACCGAGTCATTCAAGTTGTGCAGAGCTAACTTAGCGGCTCACGCAGTATTATAGTTTTTCTTCTTCAAATACATACTGTTTTGATGGACCCACAAAATGAGATGAGGATGAGGATGAGATAATGGTATGTACTGCAACGCACGAGAAATGACAAAAACTAGTACCAAATTAGCATGCCTGTCATCAACAAATACTAGACCTGGTCACTTGTCAAACATTGTTTGGGAAACGGTAACCGACCCTCCTAACATGAGCTGGAGGTTAGCGGGCTTCATGGAATAGCGAGAATCCCAGGGATTGATCTGCTCCGGTGCAAAAGGGTCGTCAACGTGTGATCGACTGCGACACAAGACATCCGCCTCGCTGACTGACACAAATTCAGGTGGGGACGATAATGCACTCTTCGACTTTAGGAATTGAATGGCAGTACCAGCTGGCACTCCAAGTGGACTGCTACGAAACGACGCCGTTTCTGGCAACAACAGCACAGGTTAAATTTTAAACAAGTAGCACGAATGGAAAACTCACTGAGGCTATTGGACTGAGCAAGTTGAGTCAATGGAAATGGCTGAGAGCCTGTCGATGGCCCAGATTCCGTCAAAAACAAGGGAATGGCAGCTTGCCCACTCCTCGTCTGAACCATCATGCGAGTCTGATGATGAATCTTCTGCCTCCTCAGTGTCTGAGTCTTGGGGCAGTGTCGACTCAAATGCTAGTGAAAAGGTCAGTGCATGCTTTTGAACTGACACTTACATATATTGACGTACCGAGAGCGTCTTTGACGAAGGCTAGAAATGCAGCCTGCACCACATCAAAATTGGCGTAAGTCTGATCAAACTGTGCCCCACTCTCAAGTTCGCCAACGTGATAGCTTCATAATATTAGGTAAGCGCACTTCCTCATCAACTTGATCACGCATCACTCACTTGAACACAGACACCTCACGGTGCTTATTCAGCTTTGGCCCGCGGTCAGTAACATTCTGTACTCTGATTTCAGCGTCTGCAGTGTCCTTGACTTTTTCTCCATAGTATTCATAGGAGTAAATGTCTATTTTTTGCGGTGCCCGGGTCCCCTTAAGTTCTACACCACCAGCTAACACAGTGTCGAACTTCAAAGCTCCTTTAACACCACTCGTGCAGCCCAGGCGAGCAGGGTTTTTCCGCCAATGGTACCATGTAGTTAGTTGCTAATCAAAATGAGTTGGTACGTGTGTTTCGCATGCTCACAGATGGTAGTGCTTACCTGTTCACGACTTTCCACAGTGTTTGCCAGATCTTGCACTGAGTGTCAAGACCCAACTGGTTGCAACGAGGACTGGCACGCAATTTGGTGGAATGGTATGGGCCGGTTTCTTCTTGATGGTAGGAATCCACAGCCGTACGACGACGCTGTCAAACACTTCAAGGAACTGCAGTTTGGACGTGTCAGTGAAGGATGCAAAGACCTCATGTTCAAGATTCTCGATCAGGGAGCGGCATTCAAGCATGCCAAACAATTTCTTTCTGAGACTTGCAGCTTCCTAGTAGAGAAACTGGTTTTCGAGCCTGAGCCTCCTTCGCCATAGTCTTACTAGTACTCATGTTAGTTTTACTCATGTTCAACCACAAGGACTTCATCCATCGTACGACGTAGACTCGTCGTGTTCAATTGTATAGAGTGATGTTTGTACCAGTACAAATACTATACTGCAGTGGTCCGAGTCTCAAATTGCTTGAAGGAAAGTAGAGATCATAATTATCATGGTGGAAACTTCAAGTTGAGTTTTGAGTCCAATCAAAACGCACCAGCTCTGGATTGGCGAAAACGCGCAGTGCGGGAATGCGGAACCTCTTGATTAAAACGCGCCCACTCTGGATTGACGAAAACATGCAGCGCGCAAGCCGCGGAACGCGCAAATAATAAATGTGCAGATATAGCGCCATAGGATATCGCGTTGCCACGGCGCGCATTAGGTTGTTTAGTCTAACGCACACAACAGATGCATGTTTTTGGGCTGACCGCCCTTTACTGCCTGTGTGTAACTTTCGGTTCAAAAAAAGGGATGATCCCAGGCTCCTTCCCAACCACTGCTTCGAGTGTGGAAGGGCTACATCCGAGGTCACATGATACAACAAAATTTCAAACCCAGCATAACCTTATTCCCCTCACACTCTCAGCAGCGGCTGGAAGATAACATTTGTAAACAACGTCAGCCACAGTGGCTGAACCAGCGGAACGCGAAATTTATTCATGTAGAATGAACTTAGGGTTAGAAAGACGCAGGTATTTTTGTATTAGAAAATTCGTGCTACGTAGACGTAGCAACACACATTTGCCATTAATGGCTTTGGCCGCTCCTATTCCATCACTCACAATCAGTTCGGATATTCCTTCCTTAGGTCAGATTCAGTCTGTCACGCAGCAAAAATTTGGAGTCAGACCGTTGTAGATGAGGAATCTTGACTATACGTGAAAACACTTAAAACAAAAGGGGTGCTCAACAGCAAGACCGGGATACGAGACAACGACTCGACCCAAAGGACAACCACTGAGAGAAGTTCCTCGAAATAAAGTGGAGGGAAACTCTGTGAGCTAGGCGGGCACTAATAGGCGCGAGAAGATAACGCGCGCGAAGGCGCGCGTGCGCGAGGCGAAGGCGCGCGAGATGCGCGCGTGAGCGGGAGGTCCGAGAATGCGCGCGCGCGAAGCGAAGGCGCGCCTAAAGCGTTAGAGGCAAGATCTTACTGAGGAGTGAGTGCAAAGGTGGAGGATTGACAGGAGGATATGATCAGATAACAAGTGGGGAGGTGATCTATTCACTTTCCAGTACACAAAGATAAGGGAAAAGTAAGTACCAGAACTAAAGGAAACCCTTCTGTATTTAAGAATGGAGAAGGCGCGCTTCCGAGCGCGCTCCCGAACCGAGTAACCATATCAACTCTAATTATAACTAAGTTTAAATAAACTTTCCATAAGTAGCGCGGATGTCGGACCGAAGATTTTATTAGTTCAATGGATAAGATAGAAATAACGCACCAGCGAATCAGTAAGGACATGGGACGGATGGACGGACGATAGCGCGAAGACCTATGAGGAGGCGCACGAACGCGCGCGCGAAGCGCGCATAGCGCGTGCGTAGGTAAGGCGCGCGTAAGTGCGCGCGAGTTCGGATAAGGCGCGCGCGAGTGCGCGCGAGACTGGTCCTTAGGAGTAGAGCTGTAATGTATAGGAATGTATGGTTAAAGGCCGGATATTCGTCATTGAGACGCGCGAGTCTCTACATCTCCTGGGGACTTACATTCTGAGTGTCCCCACTCAGTGCTATAACGCAGGATCTTGGACTTAGAGAGGTGGTGATAGACAGGGATCAGGTGATCGCGAGAGTAGGGCCGTCCTTTGATGATCGCGAGCATCGATGATGTAATCGGAGGAGATGTTGATAAGAAGATGGACGCGTTCTCGCGATCTCTTGACTTCTTTGTTATCAGTTTTTCATCATGCCTACTTTCAACGTTGCTATGCTGAACTCTACTCCTTCCCCTGAGCCTGTTCCAGTGGCGCAAGGGCTTCCTGAGGACGCGCCTATGCACGACGCTAGCGCGGAATCCGATACCGACCGCCTCTTGACCGCTTGGGCCTCCATCCTCATTTCCCTGGAAGGATGCGTGATGTCCGCGCCTGAACTCAAGGCGGAACTCCTCGAGGATCAGGAGATGTGGTTGCGCGAGTGGTATTCTGTGCTGGTGAGTGCGCTTACATGTCTAGATCTATTGTAGCCTAAGATTTCTAGGCAACCTTGAACGGCTGTTCCACGCGCGCGGGTGTGTTAGCGGTGGCGCTGGAGATGGATGATAAGAGCGCGGAGTTGTTGAAGCAGGGGCGGAAGAGTTGCAAGGAGATTGAGGCGGTTGTGAAAGATTGGAAGGCGAAGGCGATTGCGTCAGTTCCTCAGGCGCCTCCCATGCAAGCTGCGCGCGCCACTGGCGCGTCCGAAGTCGATGCGCGCGCCACTGACGCGTCTGGTACTGATGCCAGCAAAAAGGTGCGCCTCTCTATTTCCTGTTGGCGCGCCTCTCTATTAACGCGTTTGGTTGCGCTAGCCGCGCGTTGGGCGCATGTCTGTGACCAAGGCGCGGCGCTGTGGCGCCTGCATTGCCAAGGACATTGACTGTGGAGGCGCGCCTGGTCGACGGTGCCCTCCTTGTGATGTTTCCAAGCGCGCTTGCACTTTCTGTAAGTCGCGCCTATTGTCTTTCATTGGCGCGCGCCACTGACTGCTGTGGATTAGCTAAGCGCAACCTTACTGATGCGCCTAAGGCGCGCCCGCGCAAACCAATGCCCAAGCGCCCTATCGCAGAGTCTGCAAAGGAAACCGCTTCCTCTATTGCGGTTGAGGATGAAGAAGAATCCGAGGAGTCGGAGATGGATGTGGAGATTGTTGGGG